TGAAAAAGTGAACCTATACACCTGCATCATCGGTTGTTTTTTAATTGCTTGTAAACACAGATGCTTGATCCACAGTATCATGTACTGATTTTTAAGCTCCTTCAAGATAATACAAGAAGAAGTAGTGAAATGTTGCTGTGTTTTAAAAAATAACAATATTTGCCATATATTTATTCCTTGGAGACACTCTTGTCAGAGCAGCATCAAAGACAACAGCCGAGTAAAGACCACTGTAAATACATACCAGAAACTTAATAATAAATTCCTATAAGAACAGTTGATTCAGCGAAGCTTGTGAATATAATTGAAAATGGTAATAGAACCAAGGCTATAGATGGCCTTTTTGCTAGATGACAGTGTCTTGATGATCTAACAAAATGCCATAATGAGGTCTTAATTTGTTTTTCACATCTTTATGTGAAACTACTAAACTATATCTGTCAAATAGACAAAAACGAATGGGTGTTCTGTTACGAAATCAAGATAGGTTTCTCACACTGGTACTGAGCTTGAATCATTTCACAATACTTAAAAAACCCCAATTGCTTGATAGTAGGTTGGTATAAAGATAATTGAAGAAGTATGCAAGAAAGGTAATTCAGTTGTAGTCCAGTTTTCCACAGGCTGCACACTAGGTTCCTGGGAGCTAACTTGGCTACTTATGTATGAGAGATGTTTTAGTCATTTCGTAACTTTTACCTACCCAAATCGATTCTTTTCATCAGGATAGTTAGATGCGAGCTGAGGTAAGCCACTTTTCACACTGCAGCTCTCCTGCTAATGAAAACAGCAGCAGTGAAATATGTGCCAGGGAAGTAGATGTGAGTTCTTCAGAAAGCATCTGCTGCTTGCTTTAATGGCTGGCCGGTGTTTTCAAAGGCAGCAACTGCCAGGAGTGGCGTATCCCTTTGCTGCTTATTTGGCATCTCTCAGTGTAACTCTCATAGATGAGCTGGTCATGAAGGACAGCTTAATAAAACCAATTGCTTAAGGCAAACAAACCAGAGTGGGAGGAACCATAGAAGAAGACACAGCAGACTGAAATATTTTTTTTCATGAGTTCATTTAGCATGTTGTAATTTGATGTGTTCATTCTAAGGCATCATACTAAAGTGTCACTAGTCTTATGCATGCTATTGTCAGATGTGATCATGACTTACGCAGTTGTTTCAATGAAAGCTTGCACTATTTCTGGTGCTCATAATATTGAAAAATTTGCTGTACTGGATGCATTTCTGTTCAATCAAAATGTAAACGGATCAACTGAAAGGTGACAAAACATAGTGCAGTGCAAGTGAAGCACAAATTTATTTTCTAAAATTCAATACTGTGTTTTAGAGGTAAATTTAGGCATTCTGTAAATGATAATGAAGGCAGAAGAGTTATTTTGTGATGTGGAGACCGCTACTTTATGCATGAGTTCTGTATCTCACATTCCTCAGGCACTTACACTTCTACATGAGCTCTTGATCGGTGTATTCCAGGCCTTTCTTTTTGATGCCACTTGCATAAGAGATCCTATCACATCTGGTGAAATTGAGGTGTTGTTCTGTGTATCTATCTTTCATGTTGGAAAAAATGTTTGAAAGTTATTTTGGTTGTTTGTTGTTTTGTTTTGGTTTGGTTTTTTTTTTAATAGTTTCTCCTGTCTTGTCAATTTTGTCACCATTAACAACAGGTAAAATTTTTGGTAGGGAAAATTTGCAGTAGCAGTTCTACACTTATTTTTACAGCTGTTGTTATTCCTGGAGCTTTAGCAAAATATAGAATAAACTTCCTTACCCAAATTCTGTCTTTTTTCAGCAACAGTAGTGGAATTTTTGCTGAATTTTTCAATCCTAGACTGTTATCTGCAATAGCACATTTCAGTAATAACCATTTATAAGCACAGTTGTGGATGTGTTTGTACTGATTTTGCTATGAATATAGAGAACAGGATCGAGATTAGTTTTATTATAGAAGCAACTGGTTGTGTGTACTATCATAGCAGAGCCATGTTGGAATATACCTGCAAACATACTGTCCTCCTTCCATTACCACCCTCTTCCCCTAAATAAGATCATGTTTTTCTCAGATTAGCAGTATACATTGAGGGATTTCTGGATGATTGGAAGTGTTCTTTAGGATGTTTGCTAGTGTAGACAGATACTCGAAATAAGTGATACAAGGTACCCAGCAAAAAACAGGTACCTACAAAGGTAAAGGCATACAGTTTAAAGAGAAGCTGACTAATTTTTTCCAGTGGAAAGTTTAAAATTCTTGCTACCCCGTGGTTAAGAAAAAAATGCCCTTGCTGTAGACTGGTGGTTATATGTGATAAGCTTAAGAACACAGTAATCATCAGAAACTAGTGTTAAATACCCTGTTACAGTGTAGCGTGAGAACAGGTTTGTGAAAGACAGTAGCCTTATAATAAATTTTCTACTTCAACTTCTAGGTGGCAGATACTGTGAACCACACTTTTGACAAATGTAACACAAATTAAAAGTGCATTTTATTTACAGCATGGCATTTGGGAAGTGTATTGTGAATAGCAGGCCTCAATTTTCTTTGGAGGGAGTTTGTTCAGTATGGAGAATTTCATCGATGTGCCTTGTATCCAGCAGATCCCACAGGACAGTAGTGTTGGAAGGTCGGCAATGAGAGAAGCGTAGAGTCTACTCGAAAAGTTGCTGTCTGCTGCATCCTTGCTTTATACTTGTAACATATATATAGAAGTATTCCATCATAAGCATGCCATGTTAGAGATCCTGTCATGTAGGGCACTGTATTTAATACCTGAATCAGGAATACCTTTGCAGTTGGAAGTAATGAGAAGCTAATGAATGGAAAAGTTGGCAGATGGAGGAAACAACTCGGTTACAACAGAAGTTCAACCAAAATCCAAGGAAAGAGCACTGAACTCTGGAAAGATCCTGTAAAGGGTGAACTAAAGACATTTTTGAGCAGCTCTTATGTCCCATGAAATGGGATAAATCTAAGAGACAAATGCTGTGATTAAACTACAGTTAGTTAGTTGTGAATCAGTAGACAGTGGGCAATCACCTATTGCAATCTCACAAGATTCCAAAAGCATTAGATAGCACTGAAAGCAGTTCTGAGATCAGTCATGTGACTAGAAGAGGGCAGAAAATGGGGTGTGGGAGTGTGAGCGTGATTTGGAAATGGGTAGATAAAATGCTGAACCTGGAATTGGTTTGAGGAAACCAAATGGTCTCTGTGAATTCAAGCAGATATATCTGTAAAAATCTGAATCTGGCCAAGGCCTTTTCAAGTTGAGCATAGCTCCAGTGTTTAGCCACCCTCAGTGATTTTTTTAAAAGTTATATCTAATCAGAATTTTCCATTTCCTACTTGTGTCAGTTACCTCTAGCATCACATTAAGTACTGAGGATAGCAGTCCTGTTTCATAATAAGTATGAAAAATGCAAAGAAGAAAAGGACATTGTCAACACTATAAAGTTTAATTGCTTTATATACATAAACCTTGTCAGAAGCTTCAAATCTCTTGCCTTACTGGAGAAGTGAATGTTGTAGTCAAATTGTAGAGCGGTGTAGTCAAGTGCTTACACTATTTATAAAGCATTTGTATTCTCTTGCAGAAAATTTATAGCTTGCTGTGGTACAAATAGAGAAAGTTAAAATGATTTTATGCAACTGAATTTATTTTTAAATCTGCACTCTTAAAATATATCTATTAAATATTGTCAAAATGAAGGTTAAGATAAACAATGAGACTTCAGTAATTGTTTGTGGCTATTAGTGTTGGTTTTGCAGGCAGAGAGTGCCCATAATGTGGTCTCAGTTTCATGAAAAAAGACTTGGAAGAGAACCGCTGGTAACTGACTTCTGCAGGATCTTCTCTGATAAGTGTAGTGCCTGATAAATGCGGCATGAAGAATTGATTTTATGAGCCGGTAGTCCCAAGGTTGAAGTGTTATCAGGCTTGCTAATAGCGTAATCTGAGTTTGAGATACCCATATCATAAGTTATTGTTAGCCATGAATTCCCATCAGAGCTATTTTGTCAAACCAAGCCTTCATAATTATGATGATTTTTATTCATAGCAATAATATTTTTGTTCTGATAGATATACCACTATCAGGACCTTTAATGATTTTGTTATTTGGGAGGGTACAGGCTCTTAGAGGCTTGAAAAATGCTGAGAATTCTGGATCACATTATCTTGCATACATGATGGAGCCAGTTAACATATTTTACTGCTTTGCTTTCCCTAGGCTGCTGTGCTGCAACCCTGATTATAATGGGGTGAGAGGTGAATGGGGCATTGAACTTATCCCAGGATATGAACCGACTAGCTAATCGTATTTAAAAAAAACAAGAAATCTGAACTGTAAATTATGTAGTATGGGAAATTTTTATACTTCAGATATTTGTCTCGCCAGAGTTAGGAAAAAAATAAGAGTGAGAAAAGAATCTGAGAAGGCAAAGTGAATGGAAGAAAAAGGGTATTATGGGGGGCTTTTGTTATGTTTTTTGGTTTTTTTTACTGTTTTTGACAGAAATTGAGTATTTGCAGTTGTGAAGGTGAGATACAGGTAAAGTATATATTCTTGTCTTCAGAACAATCATGTATGTATTTGTTCAGCCTTACATATGCTCTGTTTAACTTTTAAAATATAAAACTTATTTGAAAACAATAGTGAACTAAATATACATTTTGTCATTACTAGTTAACTGGCAGTAAACAAAGTTCTAAAGCCGTGGGATTTTTTTTTTTTTCATATTTAAAAAATTGATGATTTAATTGTAAAGCTAAAATACAGGAGATTAGATTGCAGAATTAAATTCTCCCTTCTGTGACACACTCTTGACTTCCAGTGTACTAGCAAACAATTTACTGGTGATTGATTTTTTCAACTAATGTACAAGGAAAGAAAAAATGGTTTGAAAACTCTAACAAAACCCCCCAAACCTACCCGTAGTAGTAGAAAGAATATTGAGATTTTTCTCATCTTGATTTTTCCTTTCTTTGACAGTGACTTGTTATCTTCCAATTATGTGGAGATTCACTATGAAGATGGAAAACCAAAGTTTTCTAAGGTATTGTGGTCTTAAGATGTGTCAGAATGGTCCTTCTGAGGGAACAATGCCAATAAAATGTTAAAAAAATTGAAGTCTTGCAAGACTTAAATACACTAGAGACCTTTTTCCACACATACTAGGTAACTGTGATCTCATTTTGTAAAGATACCTCAGTAATACAAGAAAAAATTGTACAGAAAAGGAAAGCTGTGTGTTGGATTGAGGGGTGTGCAGTGGTAGGTGGTAGTAGTGAAGATGATCCAGATACTGCCAGAACAATTACATCTTGTAAAATGTAGGAGGTGGAGGGGTTGAAGTCACCATCAGCACAGTCTTCATTAATTATTCACATGTCCTTAGCGCAAAGTGCAAGGGAGAGGGATAATGGCAGTGTAAGACGTTCAGACAAACCAAGAAAACTTGCAGTGACTTTTCTTTGCAAGAATGATACAGTTATGAAACAGAAAATGAAAGACTTAACTCCAGAGGTTATTAAAAAACCAGCATATTGCTTGACATCCAGTTAATTAAAATTGTCAAACTAGATCCCAAATTGAATTTGGTGCCATAGGCTATTGATCCATAGGCAAAGAGACTAAAGTTATGGAAGACGGTTCAACCGTGGCGAAGGGAACCAGATCAGTCTTTTTGTTTGCTGTAGTAACAAAATGAGGATTGGTAGCTTCCTAGGAAGGTTATAAACTACATTATCAGGAAATTACTTTTTTGTGTTTGGTATGAATGCTGGCATATTCATTGTGAGCTTATTACATGTGAAATATGTCTCTAAAGAGAGTGGAAGACAGTAAGCATTCAAGTTGTGTTTATACCTTGAGCAAGCTGGGACTGCTCTTTGTCCAAGTATTAGATGTCTAGTTTATTATTTTGCCCTTGTTATAGAGAATCTCAAGTAAAACAATATATCACAGATTAGGGCAAAATTAAACAATTACACTGCAACATAATTATTGCAATATACTGTTTTGTTTCTTCCACTGAAGAAGAAAAATAGTTTCATGCAACATACTAAGGAAGTTGTTTCATTAAGACTCAGTACTCTGCAGAATCGGCAAAAATGCTAAATGTGCAAGAAAACAGTTCCCTCTGGCATTTGGACAAGTTCATGCAATTGTCAGCTGCAGCACTAGCATTGAGCACTGCGGTTGCTGAATCATGAATCTGACTGGAAAATTATATTAGAAGTTTAGACTCAGCAAATGGACTACCTTTGCATGCTGCAGTAACTTGATCCAGACTTCCTAGGGGATGTTTTCTGAATTGATTTATTTAGAAGAAGTAACAGGGCTCCTGAGGTCACATTAATCTGTAAAAGGCTTCATTTATAAGTTCAGAAGATAAACACACAATTTGTGCAGGAGAGCAAATAAGGACTGTATCCTGGTCTTTTGCAGTATTTTATGATACTTTTTAGATCTCAGTAAGTAAAAGATTGTTTGGTTTCCTGATGTAGATGTAAAGAAGGGAGATCTTGATGAAAAGTATTATATTTTCTAGAAAGGGGTAGTTTATTACAAGAGTGAAAAATACTGAAGAACAAACACCAATTTCTATATTCAGATGATTGTCTTCTAAAACCTGCTTGAAAAACTACATGTGTGAGAAAGATAATGATGATTTACTTGTTAAAAAGCGTGGCTTATGCATTCTCACTGATGGAAAGGTAAATATGTAGTGACTGCTTTCTGTGTAGTACTTTGATTTAATTATGCACAATAGTCTTAGGAATTGCATTCAGAATCTGAATAACTCATTAAATAAGATGCAAAATGGAAATAATGCTATATGTACTTAAACAAAAAACATTTACATTTTTGGTACTTCCTTGAGTCATAATAATTGCAGAAGGAATGCTTGCTGAAATTCAGATAACACATGACACCAGAATTAAGAATATCTTGATGATGAGTGGTACTTTTTTCAAACAATGTGAGAGAGACACAACCGCACTTAAGGGTTTTTAATAAAACTTTCTGAGAATACACTTTTATCTTTAGTTTAACTGGGGTTATTGGTGATAGGTATTAAAGACCAACTACTTAAATGAGGTAAATTAGTATAATACAGTTTTCCTCATGTTAGCTTTACTGACATATAGCAGCAGAATTTCTGGTATTTAAGAGCTTCTAAATTTACTAGTCCTTTTTCTTTAGAAAAGACAAAGCAATGCTTTAGAAAGTCAAAAGTAATGTTTCTTGGTTTCTTTCTAAACATTCATAGCTTGAACAGTCTGTTAGTGTTGTTCTTGATGCTTTGTTTCTGTTCACAGAAAATAAAAATACTCTTGTTTACCCAGTTGAAACATTCCTGTGAAGCCCGTTTATTTTACCCTTAGTCATGATCAGTAGTTCTGTAAGCCTCTAACAGTCTAATCAATTTATTCCTCAGTGATTTTTGGGATTTTGGGGATTAGTAATTCTGCTGTCCAAGTCTGCCATTAAGACCCCCTCCTAGAAGCTTTCTACCCTCTGGGGTACAGAATCACGTTTGCTGTTTCTGACTTTATAAATCTTAGTGTTTTCAACAAAGTGAGTCTGCTTCAGTTTGATTCATTTACGGTGCTTTGACACAAAGTAGCCAGTAGCTTTGGAGATGGAGCACACTTTTAGAAGGTGGGGAGATGTGAGTTGACACTCCTCAAGGTGGCTTGGGAAATTGTTCAGCAGTTGGGAAACCTGGGATTAGTGCTTTAGTTATTAGCCAGAGAGAGGCACCAGCATGTAATGGTCAATGTTTTGAAAGCAAAGCTGCTCTTAATTCTTTATTTTGTGAGTATCCATCTTGTCACTCAGATGTGTTCTGAGCATGCTTGAAATTCTCTGCCCACTTTAAGAATAATTTAGACAAGAGCTTAATTGTTTCAGGAGAGGAGAGCTCAATTTAGCTCATTCTGTGATGAAAACCAGGCAGGTACAGGGAACCATCACTTTTAATTCAGAGGAAAGCATGTAGCATTCACGAGAGGCTAGTTGCCATCTGAGCAAGGCTTCTCTGGGTCAGAACTTTAAGATTTAATATGTACCAATTCTTCTCTGTGGTATTTTGGTCTCCTGCTTTGTCTTGTTCCCCACCCCCCCCCTATGTACACACATATTGCAACTTCCCTTACATTCTTGTGGAGAAGTGAAAGACTATACACACACAGCTTTATTGCATGACCATTTCATAGCACATTTTGCACTAATTCTATTCAGCCTAATCCCTGTATTAGTTGACAGTTCAAATCTTGCAACATTCAGCGGAGTCTCCCTTAGTCCATATCATTGGGGCCTTTGAGAACTGACATTTTAGATCACAGTTTTGGGTGTAGTTTGCCTAATTTTTTTTTTTGAGAGAGTCTCTATCATTTAAACACACTTGTCGGTAATTTAAATGTTACTGTTTTTTAAATAAAAGGCAAGACCTTGTCTAAAACATAATTGCTGACTTGCTTAGAGAAACACAAAAATCCTGCCTTTTTTGGAATAATCTGGATTTTGCATCTATTTGGAATTTTATGCAATTAAAATCAGGAGTTAACTTTTAGTACACATTTGATAATGTACGGTTAAAATGCAACTGTATGCTTCAGTGTAGCTAAACTGAATTCACTTTCTGGCTCATTCATCATTAGTGATATTAGTACCTACAGTCTAATGATGTAACAATTGATAATTTTTTAGTGAGACAAAATTAGTAGAATCCAGATCTAATCCAAATACATGCCAGGAGATTGATGGACACTGTATCACTTGTAATTTTAAGAGACCTGGAAGGCATCAAGAAACGGTTAGGTGCTCATGTAACTTGCATTACATAACATTTTTACAGAATCAATTTACAGCAAAGAAATGCACTTAAAAAAATCAAGAATGCTGTGACTTCAACAGAAGAATACCCCATGTTATGACTTGAAGACTTATATAAATGAGAATTTACTGGGAACACTTTTTCCTCCTATAAGCAATCAGGGCTAGTCATTGGTATTTACTTTAGTAATCACTGCTTTTAAGCAACAGACATTAAATCAGGGTGATTTTGTGTGTGTGTGTGATTGTGTTTTTGTTTTTAAACATAATTAGGGTGGAGAGCATTGTTACTACCATGGAAATATCAGAGGTATCAAGGATTCCAAAGTTGCTCTTTCAACTTGTAATGGACTTCAGTAAGTGCACGTTCACATTTTTCAAGCAAGGCTATTATCTTAACTACTTATTACTCTTGAATATTATCTCTTAATATGTGAGGGACTGAAACTCTACAGGCCTAAAGATTTTTGATGTTTTGAAATGCTACGGTCAGCTATGCCAAACTGCTAGCATTTTTTTCAGTATCATTGGGATTAGTCTTTTGATGCTGTCTCATGAAATCTTTGAATATGGTAAGTGCAAGTAAATATTTTACCAGATGACTTATTACGCTAAAGGATAAACGAGAATTGTACTTTAGCAGTTTGCATGTTCAGTATACATGTATGATTGTGTCAGCCATAGAAAAATTGATCTTTTTGTTAGATTGTACAAGGGAAAAAAATCTAAGAAGTTAGTCCTTAGGATTGATTACTGTTAAGTGCAACTTGGTTGTTGTTTATATTCTGCATCCTGATGTGTGTCTTAGGACTTCTTCTTTACAAGGTCAAATCTTTACTCTTTTTGGTGCTTTTATCATTACATTGCCATTACATTCAGTGGTTAGTTCATTAAAATGCACCTGATCTCATAAAATAAATGTCTGAGCTTTAGCCACATTCGGTAGAATTGAACATATATGGAATTTATGTTAATATTGATCAGTTTTTGAGCCCTAAGTTTTGTCTTGTCAAAAAACGTATCTTGGAGTCAAAGTAATTGCCAGATAATCCTAAATAAAAGTTATTTTTCTCCATATTCTAGTGGCATGTTTGAAGATAGTACTTATTTGTACTTGATAGAACCAATGGATCTGACCCACAATGAAGTAAGTTTACTTTTTTCTAATTTATTTGGTTTGGGAAAGAGTGGAATAGTGAAGGAATAGCAAATAAAAATATTAGAATAAATCAATAAATGAGTGACCTCTATCATGCTTTCATAAGTATTCTAAAACACTTGATTGAAATTTGAGGCAAGAAATATCTTGTGTGAATTACCTAAGATTTTTACCTGCTTTTAAAAAAAAAAATCTTTCTTTTCTGAGTTATTGTTGATCATCTAGATGTTGGGAGTGGACTAATAAGACTGTTTCCATAGCAGATGGTTACAGACTGTCAAAAAGCATTTATCAGTTTGCTCTAGCACTTGAACTAAAGGATTTATAAATTCATGGAAGGGATGTCATTTATCCATTCTTCTCTAAATAACTGGGTCAGATTGCTCTTGACCTACCATGTTATTATTTTTGTACTTGATGTTAAGTATTATAATACAGCTGTTCCTAAAATTTTAGCTGTTAATTGATTCAATTTCACGGACAGTAGAAAAAAACAGGTAGATTTCTACCTCTTGAATGGTTCAGTGATTTGAGTGATTTTCAGTGAAATGATTCTGCGAGATTAAGACAGAGAATTCTTAAGGTCTGTAGGGTATATTCCAGATGCTTTATCACAGCTCTCAAGCTTGTCTCGCTCTGGTACTTACCAGTATATGAAAACTAATGTAATGCTGCAGAAATGGTACATTTTAATGACTGTAAAGCTGAACTTACAGTCCAAGGAAAGATCTACAGAATCTTTGACTCGACGCTCAAAAAAACTGGAACAACATTCAGAGGAATCAGTATCATTTGGATGATCAATTATTGGACTGTAAATTAAACTGTAGAGCACGGGAAAATATTACATCCCAAAAGATTTCTCATTCTCCTCAGGAACAATATTACATGCTATGTGTTAAGCTATGTAATGCGTTTTCATGGAGCACATATGAAGGTTATAAGGCTGAAATCTGACAGCACAGAGTAAATTAATGGAGATTATATTTATACAATGGTATGCATATAGTAAGCAGGGGAGAATTTGACGATGTTTCTTGCTTGAGTGGACAAAGGAAACCAGGATATTTATCTCTGTGATATTTCAGTAAAACTTGGAAGTAGAGCAAAAGTTCTAGTTACAAAAGTGAGAGACCATCTACCAACTCTGAGGATTCAAGTGGAATTCTAAGTAATAAGACAACAGAGGAGATTAATATTTTTCTCAAAACTACTGAAGGTCAAAATAAAACAGTTACAGAATGCTCAATTTTGATTGTACTTTGTGAGATAATGATCTTGAACGCAGCCTTCAGCATGTAATTTATTCAGCTTGTTTAATCTTAACCATAGCAGATAGTATATAAAATTCCCCACCACCCCACAAACCCGAACCAACCTAAGAGCAAAAATATGCAGTATTTTCCTCCAGTGTGTTATGTATTTCTTATGGAAGATACAGAACAGTAAGATCCTACCCTTTGAAAAGAATTGCTTGTTTTGGCAGTTTCTGCAGAGGAGATGTTACGGAAGAAAAGATAGGTGTTTCCTAGAGCCAATATCAAAATGCAATTATTTGGGGCATATCAGATTTCTAAAGAAAATATGCATTAAAAGTCTTCTCCATTTTAAGTGTTGTATACATGAATAAAACAGGATGAAATAATCCTCTTAAAGATAGTGTACTGATTATTTTCTTGCATTTTGCTGCAATTAGAAAGGTATGATTTTGTCACAAATAGTAACAGTTCTTTTCATCTGTGGGAGGAAGATTGAACTAGATCTATATTCTCTAACTTGATTTATTGGAATAAATGGTCTGTGTTCTCTAGCACTAAGGCTTTTAAAAGACTTTTTTCGAGTAATCTCAAAGACATCTGTGATACTTCAGTTCTGTAGAGAAGCAGAGAGACTCCATGATTTGCTCAGGATTGCAAATAGATTGCTTCAAATTAGTACTATGCCAGATTGGTACTATGGTTGCTTGAATTTTATGGAAAAATAATAAAAGTGATACTTACTGAAGGTAGTGCCTCACTTTTCACTTGACATTATTAATTAGAAGAAAATGTGACGTATTTTTCTTAACAGGAAAGTAAAAGCAGGCCACATATCATCCAAAGAACTTATGGAACACAAGCCTCCAAGCAGTTGCAGGACCTTGGTATGTTTTTTGCTTAAGTTACGAATTTTTCAATATTGGAAATAATAGTATATATAATTTGAAAAATTTGAGTATTAGGCTAACAATCTGTATAAAATAGCTGATTATTTAGAAAAACTTGAAAAATAGGTACTAGCCTAACTTTTCACAATTATTGTAACAGAATTTAGAGTTTTTAAAAAGCAGCTGAAAGATTTCCATCCGTGAAGTCCTGTATTTAGCTTTCTTCTGCAAATCGTTTAACTTGATCAGTGATATTAATGCTATTGAGGACACGAGATAGAAGAAAACATATATTCTAAGTACACATTGCAATCTCTTTACCTTCCCTTGCATGCTTTAATTCTAACTTCAGATTTCTAAGTGACTTGAGTTTTCATATGAGATACTTTACGTGTGTCTTTAAAAAAAATGAACTTTTCAATATTAAAAGCTCTTCTAATTTTGGTGATCTTAATCTACTTTAGGCTTGGAAAGTGTACATAAGTAGTTTAAAATAATGCCATGAAATTCTTAAATTGTAATTTGTACAGAGACTGAATCTAGTTCTGAATGGCCCTTTCTGTCTGAACTACAGTGGCTGAGGAGAAAGAGAAGAAAGAGAGCAGTGAGTAGAAGTGTGACCCTGAGTTAAGACCATTCATAAAACAAAACCAAGCCCATTAATTTCCACATTTTTTAATGTTAAGACAACATAAGCTTTAGAAAATAAGTATTTTGGTAGCGTAATATTGTCACATAATACAATTATCAAATGATAAAACAAGATGATTATTTTTGAAAAATAGAATATTTGGAGAAAAGTGGATAATCTTTCTAAAGTGACACCAATACTATATATCAATTGAATGGAAGTTCAGTAGTGAAAATGAGTTTAGAATTTTAAGTTTTGAATCTGCTTGAAAATAAAGAATAATTTTGAATGAATTCTTTATACTTTGTAGATATCTGACTTTATTTTCATTTGGCTCATGAAGTAGCATGATTAAATTAAAAATCCAAATAAGGGCACCCAGAATGGGGTTATTGAGAGAAGTAGACAGTCCTCATGATCTGCACATGCATATTTGTTAGTTAGAGGAATAATTCAGTTAAAGAGAATCTGTATTTATTCACTGAGTTGCACAATCCACAGCGTATTTTTTGAGGGCGCATCTATTTTTAGTAATTTCCTTACTTATTAAATCTGTAATGAATAGTACAGTAGACCAAGAGTTTTTAGGGTTTGAGATTTTTTTTTTCCTTTGTGAATATAACAGGGGGGGAAGCAGTGGTGCCTTCTGTGCTGAACCAAAAAGAATAGACTCTAAACATCCTCAATGATGTGTCTCAGATTCTCAGACAGGGTCTATCTTAACTTACTAAGTTACTGGAGCTATGATTATTTACCATAGTTAAACATCTGACCCAGATTTTACAGGTTTACGCACCCTGTGTAATATTTATGGGTAATCTTATTAAATCAGCTATAGTTGTTTTTGAAAATCACTATATTTTCATGATTTCTCAGAGAACTTCTTTAATCCATCAGGTATCTCGTGGTATCTTTGAAGAAATGAAATATCTGGAGCTCATGATAGTCAATGACCATAAAATGGTAAGTATATCAATTCAGTGGTAATCTTCCTTTTGATTATAATTTGTAGGTTGATGTACATCACTGTGCTGCAGCAGGTAGTTTTGGTCAAATGTTTCATTTATCAGCAGCTGTTATTACAGTATCAGCAGCTTTTACATAGTATTTGTATTGTAAGACACAGTATAGGCCATAATACTTAATAATGCTTAATGTTACCTAAGATTTTCTACAGCCATTATATATTCAAAATATCTCTGAAACACTTCGGTATCATATAGATAATTTAATATGCCCATAACCACCGAAGTAAAGCAACAAAACATTTATGTCCAGAACAAACACACTAAACATTCTAAAATTCCATCCTATCCTTAAAGTAATAAGAGGTCAGAACTTGTTACTTTGAGTTTAGTTTTACTAGCTGAAATTTCAATGCAGCAAAGCATATAGACAAAACTATTTGATTGTTCTTCCTGGCTCTTCCATACTAACAAGCAGGATTCATAATGAAGTGCAAGATAAGTTGTTTGTTCGATTCAGAAAGTGTTTGTCATTTGATTTAAAAAAAAAAAAAAAAAAAAAAAAAAAAACTTTTTTTTTTCCCTTTTTGTCTTGACTGGAAAAAAATCAGACCAAGTGATGTTTGTTATTTAAATGTTACTGCTTTCACTAATTATGCCAAGTAAGACTTTCAAAGTGTCCGTGTGTTACCCTTGTGAAAAATCAGGAAAGAGGAGCCTGGGGAGTAATAAGTTTTATAAACATAAACAACTGTTTTATAAACCCTTTTTGAAAAGCATCACAAATTTGAGTCCAGTAGCTACATTTTAAGTAGAGCATATCTGTCATGGAAAAATAGTGTAGATTTACAGGTTTTCTAGTAATGAAGAATATACTACAACCTACAGCAAGTTACTCTAAAACCAACTTGATGGCGCCTTGTTCTGAGCCCTTGTCTCACTTAGCTTTCTCAGCTATTCATTGACTAAGAAGCAAATAAGGATCATCAGCCTTTAATATAACTGGTTCTGTGTGAGTAAGACTTTTTAAAAATCAAATTCTGTTGATAAAACAGTTTCTGCTTATTTTATGTGCAAAGAAAATAAACTTGTAAGTTTCTGTAAGAGCTCCTTGCATCTCTCACTCTACTGCATATTTTCCCAATGCTTTATGTTGTTGGGGACTCTTTTGTCAGCATGGAAGAATGATTTTCAAGACCCAGAAATAGCAGATATCACAGAACCTTTCAGGTTGGAAAAGACCCTTAGGATTATCGCGTCCAACCATCAGCCCTACTCTACAAAGTTCTCCCCTACCCCTCATCCAAATGACCCTTAAACACACCCAGGGATGGTGACTCCCCCTGCTCCCTGGGCAGCCTATTCCACTGTCTGATCACTCTTTCTGTGAAAAATGTTTTCCAGATGTCCAGTCTAAACCTCCGCTGTTGGAGTTTAAAGCCATTCCCTCTTGTTCTGTCACTAATCACCCATGAGAAGAGACCAGCACCAACCTCTCTACAATGTCCTTTCAGGTAGTTGTAGAGGTCTCTCCTCAGACTTCTCCTCCTTAAACTAGACAGTCTCAGGTCCTTCAGTTTCTCCTCATAGGATTTGTTCTCCAGGCCCTTCACCAGCTTCATTTCCCTCCTCTGCCCTCTCTCCAGCCCCTCAATATCTCTCTCATATTGAGGTTCCCAAAACTGGACACAACACTCCAGGTGTGGCCTCCCCAGTGCAGAGCACAGGAGGACTGTCACCTCCCTACTCCTGCTGGTCACACTATTTCTGACACAAGCCAGGATGCCGTTGGCTTTCTTGCCCACCCGGGCACACTGCTGGCTCCTGTTCAGCTGCTTGTCAATGAGAACCCCCAGATCCTTCTCTCCCAGACAGCTCCAGCCACACCTCCCCGAGCCTGTAGCCATGCAGGGGGTTGTTGTGGCCCAAGTGCAGGACCTGCCACTCGGCCTTGTTGAAGCTCATCCCGTTAACGTTGGCCACCGATCCAATCTGTCCAAGTCTCTGTGTAGAGCCTCCCTGTCCTCGTGCAGATTGACGCTCCCGCTTCACTTGGTATCATCTGCGAACTCACTGATGATGCACTCTATGTCCTTATCAAGATCATCGATAAAGGTATTGAACAGAAATGGTCCCAACACCGAGCCCTGAGGTCACCACTTGTGACCAGCCACCAGCTGGATTTAGCTCCACTGACCACCACTCTCTGGGACCGTCCAGCCAGCCAGTGCTTGACCCAGCAGACCGTTCGCTCCTCCAGGCCCCGAGCAGCCAGTTTTTCTATGGGAATTCAATGGGGAACTGTGTCAAATGATTTTCGAAAATCCAGGTAGACAATATCCACAGCCTTTCTCTTGTCCAATAGTCAGGTCATCTTGTCATAGAAGGAGATCAGGTTTGTCAGGCAGGACCTGCCTTTCATAAACCCCCACTGACTGGGCCTGATCTCCTGGTTGTCCGTTATATGACTTGTAATGGCACCCGAGATGACCTGCTCCATGACCTTCCCTGGCACCAAGGGCAGACTGACAGGTCTTTAGTTTCCCAGGTCCTCCTTTCTGCCTCTCTTGTAGATGGGTGTCACATTTTCCCCCCTCCAGTCCAATGGGACCTCCCCAGTCAGCCATGACTCCAGGTAAATCATGGACAGCGTCTTGGCGAGCACATCTGCCGACTCCCTCAGCACCCTTGGGTGTAACCCATCCGGTCCCACAGACTTGTGTGCATCCCAGTGGTGCAGCAGGTCTCTGACCACCTCCTCTTTAATTGTGATGACCTCAGTCTGATTTTCCTCCCCATCTCCTAGCTCATGAAGCTGGGAATCGGAACAGGATGCAGTATTTTGGGTTTGTTTCAGTGCTGAATATACAGATATTACAACCTTCCCTAATCTGTTTAATAAATCATAGAAATAGTCTGGGAAAAATAATCTATACTTAATCTGTGTCAATTCAGCAATGTGGGGGGAATTTGAATGGATGGAAAGAGTAGAACAGAATTTTCTTCAACTGTTTTCACTTGTAAGCCACCTGGTAGGAAACTCAGTTCTAAGAGCTCTCGTGTTAGCTGTTCAGGGGTAGGGCACAGTAACTGAAGTTACAGACTTTTTGTTGTCTTGTTTGAAGTTTGTGGTTGGTGTTCCTTATGAAGAGATATTTCTATGTCTGTCTGTTTCCTCTGGCCTCTCGTATTACAGACATGCTTGAAGGACAACCGTCTTGTTCACTACACTTGTTACAGACACTGTTGTTTTCAAAGCCTTTCAGGCTTTATTTGTTAGAAGTTTAGATTTTTTGATTCAGAGTTGTCAGTGACTCAGAAGCAAATAATAGTTCTTTTCAAGGAGTAAAATGGATATACTTAAAGAAGTGTTCACAATTATGAGTTAAAAGCCGATCCAGGAACTCACTAAATGTACTTTTAAGATTTTCTGTTTACCAGTAGAGGGCATATTTCTCTTGCATCAAGGTTCTATGTTGGAAGAAGTATCTTGAACCTCTTTGGCCATTGTGGTATTAAGTGGTTAATACTGTGTATTTTCACAAAATTTTCCTTTCCTGTAACACTAAAGACACAGCTAAACATGTTTATTTAGGTTGTTATGTTACACTTTTTACTGACTTACCCAGCATAATTTCTGTTTTAGGAGCTGTGTTTAAACACATTATGGTGTACATTGCTGTTGATTTTGGTATTTAAATACTTCCACAAAAATGCAGAACATTTTCCAAAGCATATTATTTTATCTTTCCACTTATAAGAAAGTTTGGGATTGGCTCAAAACAAACAAACAAACAAGCCACCGTTCCTCCCTCCCCCATTATTTTGTTCTAGTATCATGGTTAACTAGGGAGCAGAGTCCCACAGTATGGATACTCTTCTTAGTGTGCATACTAAGCACCTACTACCACTGTAGCTGAAAGTGCTTTGTTTTGATAATAGTTATAGGGGATGGGGGCCTCTGCAAACCTATGTTGCAGGATCTTTTGGTATTAAAACTTGCTGTGAATGTGCTGAAGCATTGTGGAACTTAACACTGAATAACTGCTTATGTAAAAAATTTATCTTCGTGCAGTCAGATGAATGTGTGTCATCAACAAGTTCGAACTTTTTGTTATTTCTATGGCATTTTGTCCATATAAAACTAGATTGCTTGTGCAAAAATAACTGGAATTTAAAGGGATGGAAAATTTGTTATCTAACAATACGGTGTGGGTGGGTGTGTCACTCATCTGACTTTCAATTTGAGAAACGGATTATTTAATTTTAAAAGCATGTATGTCTGTCTTCCAGTTTTACATTCACCTTTGCACCAAGTATAATTCTTGAAAACAGGATTTGTCTGTTTTGTAATTCTACTTTGAGAAGGTAGTTATCATTTACCTTACTTGATGAGAGTAGCTACTCAGTGGCTCAGAGAAGAGTCATACTGTCTTGTTTCAGCACCTCTTTTTGGGTGCTGTGTTTCAGAGTAGGAATAGCTGACACTTTTATGGAGCTTGATAACATTTACTCATGAGGTCTTGAGATTTGTTGCTTTTTAACCAGTAGTTGAAATTAGTAAGAGTTTTTTAATGAAGACTTCTTACCCTGCTTGTTCTATGCAATTTTGTGTCCCTTTTCTGTGAAATCTTGAAGACTTATTCTTCCTGCCTGCAAATCATATTGAGCAATTCCGTTTTCGTTTATAATTTTACATGGTTTTTTTTGAAAGTCATGGATTCATGTTCAGATACCATAGCAGCACCTTTGGAAAATTTGACTTGGAACAGAGGGGACTTGTGGGCAGAATGAGGAAAGACATGAAACAATTTTAGTGACACACATAGAAATTAGAAGGCAGAACTTATAGTACAGCTCATCTAAGGCTATAGAAATGGAAAAAAAATGAAGTTAAAACTTAACTCAGATTAACTCTTTCCACATTCAAACTCATACTTTTACTATGCACTCCCTCTTCCTTTTTGCCTTTTGGTATAACTAATGCTACTTGTCATAAAAGTCTTGTACTACACTAGAGAAAGGATGCTTTTGCAAATTGCTGTACATGGGACAAGTGGTAAGTGCTTCATCTTCATGCATCATAATTATAATCATGGAATGTGGCTAGTACAGCCTGACCTTTACCTTGTCAGGTTAAGCACGGTTTAAACAACCATGGGTACAACATTTTCTCAGTTTTGAGCTCATGTTCACTTGTAATTTTGTATCAAACATTTGAACTCTGATTCTAACTAGGGTATTACTTGTGGCTAAATGCTCCTTTTAGAAATGTGAGAGGCTGTCTAGCATACATGGCTCCCTTTCTTCCAGGGATTCTTGAATATGAGATACAGACTGTGATCTGAAAAACTTTGAGTGTTCCATTACGCTTTCTTGAAATATTAATTTTCCTTTCTTGCTATAAAAATAAAGAATTAGTAATAAATATTTAAGTTCTCACTGTGTTCTACTTTTTCTTCTCCTTTTAGTTCAAAAAGCACCGTTCTTCAAATGCATACACAAACAATTTTGCAAAGTCTGTGGTAAACCTTGTAGATGCTGTAAGTATCAATGTTTCTTCTGAAAACTGTATCGTTGATTTTGTTTAGTACTGCATTTAAGAAGGTAACATTAGCAGATACCAGGATAAAAAAAGAAAAGAGAAGCTATAAAAATTGTATTTTAAAACTAATTTCCAGTTTCTCTGCAGAATAATAGCCTGGGGGGAATGTGTAAGAAACCACCAAATTCTTGGCATTTTCCTCAAAGCTTGCCACTGACAGAGTTTGCTCTTGGCAGGGGGGATTTCTAACTTGAAGGAGCTCTCAGTATCTTGTCACTGCTTAAGAATGGGATTTAATCGAGTTTCGATTTGTGAAGCAAATCTAACCACAAGTGGTTGAATTTGCAAGTATAGTTCACAAAGGGTACACATCTATTGGAAAAAAAAGATAGTGTGAATAAAAATTCTCCTTTATAAATCTGTGTTCATAGCCTAAACCCAAACAAAATCCCATTGTAGTACATTGTAAATGAGTGGCACCAATGCAAATACCATACTTGTATCTGTGACTATATTTAGAACAGTTTCACACAGAGCATATAAACTAAAAGTAAAATTTGTTGTAAATTTTTTTTTCCTCTATTTGATATACGTGTAGTGAGCACACACATTTCAGAGCTGTGTTTGTAGTGGAAATAGGATAGATTCTCTAGTAGTGATTGTTTTGCCAATTATTAAGCTTCGCATAAGGGACACAGCCAGCGTAAAGATGAACCAATAACCAGATTGTATTTGATACAAAAGGGTCAGTACATGGGTGAGCGCTGGGGGTACAAATGAGTCAGTCAGGTTATACATGATCGACATCAATCCCACTGACCCCAACAACGACACCGCACGACCAACAACGGGTGGAATCAATGGTGAAATGCAGTCTGCCATAGAAGGGACGGGAGAGTCAACAAGCCAAACACATAAGACCAGGGAAGCCACACACTGAATCTCTACACAGCCCACGTTTACAGCAGCCAGACCTGAGTGGAGCCCAGCCCCAGGGAGGCGGGAGGTCCTTCCCCAACAGGGAACTCTGCACAGGGCACCCACCTCACAGACAGACACTGCCCCTCCTGCCAGGGGTCCCAGCTTTTATCCCTCCGTGGGACGCCTGACCTTTGTTCACTGAACGCGGGACCCCTGGGGCTCCTTTACCCAACGGCTCTCCCTGCCAGGCCGGCACCACCCTGGGGGGAAGCCTGAAGGCAAACTCACCCCCCTTGGTGAAGGGCTGTGGGAATCACCCATATGTCAGCCTTCATTTGGGGCTTGGGGTTGAAACCCCAGCATTTCAATGATGAATACAAAGGCTAGCAAAATTCTGACTTTTAAGTCCCTGTTCCATGTGACATTATTAATAGAACTGTGTGATAAGATTCACTGCAAAACACTGTGTCAACCATTCATTTAGTTTGGAGGAAGCAGTACAGTATTTGTTGTTAGTGTCTTGCATATAAAGTATTATGTATATTGAAAATTTAGGTGACTATATTTATAATACATGAAATACTGGGAATGTTTTGGAATATTTTTGTGTAATGGTCTGAAAATGCCAGTAGTCTGCAGAAAAGTTACTAGCGCAGATAAAAATTTAAATAATTGAAATAATATTTCTGCAATTTATATTGGATATTCCTAAAGAAAGGGTGGTATCTTCATTTCTTTCTCATCTGGTCATTATTTCTTTATATTTCTTCTGCATCTTAACAAAAGTTGTTTATCTTTCCTTTCTCTCACTGTTCCTTCTGGTTTTCCATTTTTATTTGCTGTATGTCTGTCTACAGAAACATTCAGCTTCTCTCCAGTGTAGAATTCAGTCCCCTCATAGAGATCTTGCAAAATGACATCTTAATGGCTTTTCTTTAAATGAAACATGAAAAGGAGAAGGAATTTCTGCCTTGTTCTTCCTGTGTGTTCATAGGGAGTGGGCTGTATTTCTTATTAATATTGGGAAAACGATACAGGTTTTCAGAGGCTTCCAGGTTCTCTGCCCCCTCTTCCATTTTTTGATTCCTTCCCATTTGCTTGAGGAAATACGGTTTTCCTCTCAGCACTATATTGATCCACCCATATGTAATTTCTGAGGTTTAATTTTACTGATTTTTCTCATGTCATTAACCATTTTCTGTGTATGTCCTTAACCTGTCCCCCTCAGATTGAAGCATATTAATACTCTGTTTTTTCCTTTAAAGTTATGGGGCAAAATTGAGTTTAACTAGTTGCTCTCTCTTGCTCGCTCTTACTTACTGTGTTTTTTCCTAAGTTGAATGTTATACATTGACTTTTTTATAAGGATAATACTGCCTTGATACAAAGCACTGGCATGCTAGTTTATTCCATATAAATATTTATCATACCTGCAGGAGGGTATTTACAATCTAGCTTGTGTATTGTAGGTATAATTTGGCAAAAATATAATAAAAGCATGTATGTAATATGCCATATGGAAGTGACCAGATAACTTGCCCTTTGTGTATTCTATGCATTAGGCAGCCAATATATTAATATCCATTGGTTTTAGGTCATAACTAAGTATGATGAGTCTTTAGTGTCCCATGTAAGACTTTTGATGGGCAGACTATGTGTTGCAGGTAAGGAATGCAGCTTTGGTCAATCTGCAAGTTCTGAATAACCTTCGTTAATAAAATTTAGCATGTTATGACCTGAACCTAGAGAGCAGCAGTTTTATTTCAATATCAATATCATGCACAAAGTTAAAATGGATATTTTAAAGCTGTTTTGTAATTATTAGGGCCTGATTGTTTCCTTGTCTATTGCTCAAGTGACATTAAAATTAACAGAAAAACTAACATTCTTACTTAATACTCTCACATTACTTGAGTAGCATTAAGTGATCATACTATAAATGAAAGTCAAGCATTATGTGAATTAAATTTTGAATATATTGGAGAACTGAGAAATCATTTAATCTTGACTTAAAAATTGGCTTTGGCTGGTTTTTGTCTTTGAGATCTTTCTTTTATTTTTCTTTGATATCCCCTGTTATACCTTTACATTTCTTCTTTGCTGATTTTTTGTACAGGTTTTCTGCAGACTCAGTGGTGAAATTATTTGACATGAGAATATTAAAGAAAAGGGAGTAGCTCAGAAAAAAAGAGTGGCAAGTTTTTTTTGTCCTCTAAAACATACAATTTAAGTTGATCAGAATATTAACTTCTAGGATGCCAAGGCACTACCAACTAACTGTTTCCCCATGTTTCCCTCCTGCTTTATCCCTCTTGTCCTTCCGCTTTACTCTTACTGGCTAACTGTGTATGTTTGACCCAGTGTTCTACTCCTGTGCCTGTCCTGTCTCTGCCCTCAGATATACAAGGAACAGCTGAACACCAGGGTGGTTCTTGTTGCTGTGGAAACTTGGACAGACAGAGATCGCATTCATATTCACCCTGACCCTCTGCAGATGCTTCATGATTTCTCCAAATATCGACAGCACTACATCAAACAGCATGCTGATGCTGTGCACCTGCTCTCGTATGTACCATATACAGTTGTTTAGACTGTCACAGTTTTATGTACTTTTCTGTCTACTGCTTTTGTCTTCCTGTCTCCTCTTGCTTATGTTTTTCCTTGATAGTCACTAAATCAATCAACAGCTGTCTTCCTTAGGAACCTTAATCTGTTTTTTAACATGTTAGTCTATTTTTAATAGGTGTAGTATATACCATGGTCATGTTGATATATATCTATAATGAAATTTTAATGTATTTGCAACCAACCTGGAGTCAGTGTCACATATTTGAAGTGTCTTCTAATGAGATCTTAAGGACACCTAGTTTTGTTAATCAGGTGTATAATGTACTGCTTTCCCAGTAAAGAGCAGGAGAGGGCAGAACTTGACAGTATTATGTGTTGCCACAAGAGCATTCCAGTTACTACATTTATTCACCCATGTAGCTGCAGTGATGATTTTTTAATGGAAGGTCTCTTCCTTTAGAGCTGTAATGAATTGTTCTCTTGAGGCACAGTGCATTTTGAGGAGAAATTCATTTGCATCATTAGGCACAACCACCACCTTGGGCAACAGTATATGTTTTACTTCATGGCATTCTAAGCAAAGAGAAGGAAGAGCGTGTTCCCCTGTGCAGCATAAAAATCTTAAGCATTCTCCCAGCAGCATGACATACTATGAGGAGGGAGTGACAAATGTCTTCCATGTGATTCTCCTGTCATTCATCTTCTGTGGAGGAAGATAAAAATAAGGGATGAAGAATTTCCTCCAGCCTCTGTTGTAGCTGTACTGCCTCAATACAGGCATTGCAACACAATGCTAATTGCATTTTTCATAATGTATTCAAAGTTCTGCTGATGTGCTCTCTTAATTACTTCTATGCATGTGTCGTGTCACATACTGATGAGCCTGCTAGTGGGCAAACAGGATCTTGTCAGTAGTGCACGGTGAAAGGTATCAAATACAAACTGAAATGCAGGAAATTCCATTTAAGCATAGGGAAAAAACACTTACACTCTGAAGGTGGTTAGATGCTGAAACAGGTTGCCCAGAGAGGCTGTGGTGTGTCCATGCTTGGAGATATTCAGAAGCCAGTTTAATATGGCCCTCAGCAGCCTGCTCCACCTGAGCCTTCTTGGAGCAAGGGAGATTGAACTAGACCATTTCCAGAAGTGCCTGCCAACCTCAGCTCTTACTATGGTTCTGTCTATCATAAAGCATCTAGCTTTAAGTATTTAGTACAGTTAAGCTGCAGTTTGAAAGTTTAATCACTGTCAGAATATTCTGAAAAAAAAAACCAACCCAAAAAACCCCTCTCTGGACTATCCTGTCATTTCAAAAAACAAAAGGCACACTGATTTACTGTTGTAAAAGGATTTAATTTTCAAAGATACGGGGCATTTGCTATGCATGCTGAAGGCTGTGTAGATCTATTATTTTGCCTATGAAGTTAAAATAGGTATCATTCATAGTCGTTTATAGGCTTTTATAGAATAATTTATATCTTCCAGATTACATTAATTTAACTACATTATTTGGGGCTCATTAATAGTAAATGAAATGAGGCAGGATTAAAAAGCAGTAATAAATTACTTTCCCTTTATGTATACTACACTCAGTCTTTTCACTTGGAGTTAAAACATAATTTAAAAAGATTCTCAAGACTGATACATTTCAGTACAGAATTACTTCCTGACAGATTATAAATTGGAATATATTGTTATTTTTGTAAAGAAAGTGTTATAATTGTATTTTCTTAGGCATCTCATAATCTAGCTTTCTCTGCTTGGTTCGTTTGTGGGTTGGGACTGATTCTGACTCTACAACATAAAAATAGTATTTTTGCTGAAAGTTGTATCTAATCGACTCTTTTGATGTCAGTGTTCTGATTGTAAACTTGCAGTTGCTTTTGATGCTAGATGAGGATTAATGTGCATGCAGTGTGAAGGTGTCAGCTTTCAGTAGGTTCTTGGTGCCCAATGTCCATGTGTTACATTTTCTTTCTTTCTTTCTTTGTAAGGAATGTGACATTTTATTACAAAAGGAGCAGCTTAAGTTACTTTGGAGGGGTTTGCTCTGTGACCCGAGGAGTAGGAGTGAATGAGGTAATTTTTTTTTCACAACTAAAGTGAGATAAAGCAGGAACTATACATTATAACCTCAGAGTTTATATATTTCAGTCTGCAGGGCTTTGAAGATAACTTATGTATTAAAAAGTTAGGATTCTTGCAGCTAGCCTCCTTCTGTCATCATGAAACTACTGCTCACTGTGCTTTTCTTCTTCTTAAAAAACATGCCTCCTGTCTGCATTATTCTCTTAATAAGATCTTAAATTGGCTTTTGGCATATTTGACAGAAATCTAGACCCAAAAATCTGACAGGAATATTTGAAATACATCACTGAACATCCTTTTGGGTCTTCTCATTGTAAGAGGCTTAATCTTCTGAGGTGCTGATGACATGCAATTCTTACTGATCTTTTTAAAAATTGAAATTAGAAAAATTTGGCCTCTGTGTATTGATTTAAAAATTATTTTATTTTTGTTTTTCCTCAGTGCAGTGTTAAATCAATAATGAAAATCTTCTGTTTAAGCATGGGTTTATCATACTATACAAAACTGTATTTTACATGTATCTATATCTATATATCTATATATATCAAACAGACTCCTTTCTATAGGGTAACCAGCAGACAGGGATTTCCTCAGGTTGAGAGGAAAGTTCTTTCTGTTATTTACCTCATTGTGTTCATTTTCCTTATATGCACACAGAATTGTGATTGGCTATACAGAATTACTGACATAGTAGATATGTGGTAAGTCAGGATGAGACAGTGTACTGTTCATTACAATAACTTTTTTTTTTTTTTAATTGTGCTCCTCTTGAAATGCAGTATGCCCTCCCTTTGTCCATGGCACAGGAACTAGCACAAAGTCTTGCTCAGAACCTTGGAATACAATGGGAGCCTGCTGCTAGGAAACCAAGTACGTACATGGTCATGTAGTCTTCTTTTGTCCTCCTTAGCTAAATATCCTTTTGTAATGTTTGAAACAAATACCAAACTTGCTCTAACTATAGAACAAGAATTGCTGCTTTTGTAAATATATGCACCAAAATTTGAGTTTAACCTAAATAAGAATCACTGATTTTGCAGTGACCTCAGCGATGTCCTGTGTCAGGATCTTAGATTTATGACCAACATGCAAAGGTATAATGATAAAAATACTATTAATTTAACTCAGAGCTTCTGATCTATCATAATGAAACCTGTAATTCCTATAGAACGACCACTGACTTCTTAAAGTACAAAAATACCTGATTTGTAATTGAAGAAACAGCAAGAAGCTGTAACCTAGTCCAGAGTGACATTTGCTCAAATTATTACCTTGCTGCTTCACAGCCAGAAAAGATCAGACTGTTGTGTCCTTAACACATGTAGAGTGTAGGTATCTACAAAAGCTGCTGCAAAAGACCTTTTGGGGGCTAAAGAAAATTGTTGGGTTTTTCCACTCACGTCTCGTAAGCAATTTGGCTACTTTATCTCTGTTTCTTGTTTAAAAATGTCAGTGATAATCCTGACTTCATTTTGGAATCACTTCAGAAATCTGTGAATTAGGAAACAATGTGGAAAAGTTTAGGGAATGTTGTTTTGTAAAGCGTTGCCTTTGAATTGTGTAAACTTGCAGATTGCTAAAATATTTTCTATATGGTTTTCTGACTACAGGTAAAACAGAGTTCATATAATTTGAAAATCAGAATCTGTTTTAACTGTAAGATAGAGGTTTTTAAAACAATAGCTTAGTTTCCTTATTTGGATACACTTTATAGAGAAAGATTAATGAAAGACCTGGATAGAGCAGAAATGCCATATAAATAATCTGTGAATATTTTCTGCAGAGAAACAGTATGAATTTGCAGTAGTAACTAGAAAACACAGCCTTTCTACTTGAAAGTATTTTTATGGTAGTTTGTAACTTCTGTTTTACCAACCATAAGATGTTGATATTTTGTTTTTATTTATAAATTTGGTCACTGTTGACTTACATGGTATAGCTGTAAGTAAACTGTAAATCCATTTTCACTCAACTACATTTTCTAATGAATGTTTGATTGGCTGATTCACGTATTACTATTAACAGTTCTATACCAAAAGGAAAAAAATGTGGCCTGTCCAGTAACAATTCTCCTTCAGAGTGTTCTGTATGCATTTTAGGAAGGAGGAAATATGAACATTTTTTATCATCAGTATCATGTGTACTGTACATACCTTTGTACTGCCTGTTTAAGAACATGTAGGGAAGAACATTGCCAGCTATTTTTAGCTTGCTATACTGCCTGAAACTTTGTGTTGAGTCTAAGAACATACACATATGCTAATTTGAATGTACTGTGTTTATATTAAGTATGTTAGTATTTCTTTAAGTTGGCTGGTTTCCTTTTTAGGGCTAGAATCTGTACAGCCAAGCAACCATCTAACCTTTGTATAATTAGTCAAGATCCATTTTATAGTGAGTACTTTATATTTATTGTAAACATATTTATAACTCTTTTCCTTTTCTGTTGTATTTTGGTCTTGTCTGAGAAGAGTGTGACTGCACTGAATCCTGGGGTGGTTGCATCATGGAGGAAACAGGGTATGTCATAACTATCAGTAGTTGAGGCTTCTGGAATGAGTTCACGGTTTGCATTATGACAAATATTTATGTATTGGGTTTTGTCCATGTATTTTAGTACCAATAAATGGAAAACTAGAAGCAGTTGGAACAACCCAAACATACAGATCAATGATTTCAATTTTCATCAGTTCATTCCCTTTGCTATTCACATTTTATGAAGTTATTCATAAATCTTGTATTTTGAAGTGCAGTGCAGAGTATTCACCAATGCTTTGCTATACTTACAATGATTGGGAGGTAAAGAATGTCTATTTCTCATTAAATAAATCCAGTTATACTTTTGACATGCAGCTTAGTCATGTTACAATATAGTATTAGTAAGTTATATTTTCTTCCTAAATTTTAATTATTTTTCCCCCGGTTCCTTCAAAATTCTAGTTTTGGGTGAACAGATCTCTCTGCTTCTCTTCCAGTGAATAAAAGTAGAAACCTGAAGCTTTCAGCAAGTGCTCTTAATCCTTACCTAAATGGTCAGTGTTGTCTGAGGGGGAAGCACATCTGTATGGGAGGAAACCAGGTTTCATTGCCCTCTACCCTCACACACTCCCAGAGGTGGAGGCTTGACTACAAAAATAATGGAGAAAATTAGTAATAAATAAGACAGAAGGAGCTTAGTTTCTTCAAATGGTATTTGGAAATTGTTTCGTGAGTAGAATTACTGTGTGGCTTTTCTGTAGACTTGTCAGTCACCACATGAATGCATCAGAAAATTATTCAGTAATTCTGAATCTGAAGTAAGGCATTAATCAGGATAAATATTAGCTTCCTTCCTATGGTGAACTCATCAAAGTATTAGTCTCGATGGAAATACCAGTAGAAGAGGTTGTAGGACAAACCTCTTCTGTAGATAAGGTAACAGTAAAAAAAATGGCAGGAGCAGATGGTAGTCACCCAGAAGCTGAAAAAGGACTGCCTAATGAAATGAGTGAATAGTTAGCGGCAGTGTAAAGCCTTTTCACTTAACTCCATCAGTGCCAGCAGACATTTTTTATATATAGAATAATTCAGTGTGGAAATGTCAGCTCAGTAGCAGTGAGCTGCTAGGAAAGGAATGGAGAACCTCCTTTATGGCATGATTACTCCCATCTTTAATAGTGTGAATAGTTTTCATTCCCAGATCTTGTAACTTCGCAAATAAAAATATCAGACAGTTTCTGTGTGGGAAATAACTAATAAAAGTATGTTTTCATCAGGCTGGGAAAAAGATGGAGATGAGAAAATATGAGAAAAGTCTGTAACATCACGAACAATGTAGCAAATGATTACTGTTTCTTCCAGGATAAGAACTAGGGAGATATGAAGTGAGACTAGCAAATAGGTAACAGAAGAACCAGAATGAAATTGTTCTGCTACCAGTCTTTAATTAAGATGTGGAAATTCTTGCTATAGCATCCTGTAGATGCTAAATATTTTGGGCAAATTCATGGGAGAAAATACATTGAAGATTATTAAGTAAGACAAAATAAGGCCTCCTGAGAAAGTAATTGAGCTGAAAATTCTTGGAAGCTGAAAGAATATTCTGCAAGTAGTAGTATAGTGCTCTGTTCTCTGCTTCTCCTTGGGCATATTCTCAGGGGCAAAATCAGAGATGGGATTTGGGTGAAGTGGATTTTTAGTCTGACCCTATAAAGTTGTTCTTATGGCTACAAGTACTTTTACTTCAAAACTTAACCTTATTAACAGGATCAGATGAATTGAACAGTTTTAAAAACCCTGGCATGAAATCAGGGATCTGCAATGTAATCAATTTTTTAAACTGAAGCTGCAGGGAAGACAAACCCGAGAGAACATGGGATTATGCATGCAATTGAGAGGGTGCATATTTTGATACTGTGGTTTCACCTTATTAAGATTAAAAGACTCATTTCATATAGTGTAGGTCCATAGAATAGAAATATAAAAATGCAAAATGTTTAAAACCTTTTTCTTCTGATTTTATTGTTTGAGAGTAAGACTGCGCTGATACACTATTGCACACAGTGGTTGTAAGAAACTGGGATTTACAGTATATATTTTGACACTTCCACCCCCTTTCAGTAACTGTTGGTGTTTCAAGGCATTTACTGAGCTAATTCTTTGCCATCTTAGGGTATATCATTCCAGGAAATTCTCCAAATGCAGCATTGCAGAATACAAAGAATTTTTACTTCGTGGGGGAGGTGCCTGTCTTTTCAACAGGCCAACAAAGGTAATAAATGTATTGTTAGTCAGCACCTCTGCTAAACACTATAATGAAAATGTAAAAATTTCACTAACACCCAACTGTTCTCATATTTATTCAGATGTCTATGTGGGTATTTTCTTCAGGTTGCTTGTAATTAGCTGAACTGCTTTTTCCCATAACATTTAAAAATAGTCTTAAGAAGAATGCAGCTTGTTTTCCATCAATTCTTCATGCTCAAATAATGACAAATACTGCAGCTGATTTTTCACAGCTAGATACATCCCTGTTCTGCATAAATGCACTATTTATTAAGCGCTAAGTAGTGCAAAATAAATCCAGAAGTGAGGTTGTAGTGCATCCTCCACATACACTCAGTTCTTGGACTTTTTGCCTGAAGTTGTTAAAAAGAACGCCAATTACTAGACTAGGAATTAGAAATCAATAGCTTACAGTACAGACAGTAGCAGCTTGTGGTTGTTCTCAAACTTCATTTAATTCCATGTCAGATGTACATCTAGCAAACTCTGTAATTTGTAACTGTTTCCTTGTACCATCCGTTGCTTTTTTCACCTAAAAACTTATCAAGGTCATAACTTTTTCTAAGGCAATATTAGCATGATATCCTTCCAAAGCTGAGTAGTATAAAAATATTCTATGTGGCTCTTTTTGCAAAGTAAGATCAATCCAGGGTATTAATATTCTATTAAATCATGGTGTCAAACTTGCTGTCCTTGTAGATTTTAATACCACATGAGACTATTAGGCTGTTTTGTTTACTGTGCTGTATCCTTTGGTAGACCACAACCTTGCACAATTAAAAAAATTTTGCTTGATAGAGTGTTTTTTAAACTTTTCCCAGGGTAGCAGTCTTTGCGTATAGAATAAGCATGTAAGAATTCTTACAGAAAAAAAGTAGGGAGAACAAAAAACACAGCTTCTTTTTTTTAATGATGGTTGTCTAGCAAGGTAATTTGAACAAATTGTCAAATTGACTGTATACAGAATCTGGTTTACTTCCATGAAAATGCTCCCAGGAGAATGGTTGAATTATCTTTACATGTTACCTATGTTAGTGTTTCACAGCTTTGAAGTTAAAGTACTTTGGGGAAGAAAAAAATCATACCACATTTTGATTTCTCTTATTTGGAGGTTGGGAGGTAAGGTAGAAAATGGTGTATTTAATTTTTAGGTAAATAAAATGCAGTTGTGTTAAGCAGTCACCATGATGTCATTTTTAATTATAACATTTTGATTATGCTCTGACATGTATATGAATGTTTGATGGTTCCTCGTTAATGCTGTAGGAAATCGTGTGTGTGTTCCATTAATTTCTTGCATTTCTTGGGTTGACTGCTTTTTGTCGTCTTATGGGCTGCAGGACAGATAATGAGGTCTGTTTCATGGAGAACCGAATTTCGGGTTCAGAATAAGAGATCTTGCTGTTTCCACTGAAGTTCAGTAGTAACAGTGGCTTATAGAAAAGAGAAAGACATTTCAGTTTTCTGATTTGTGTTGACATTGCTAGTGAAGAAGAGTACATAAGGGTATTGCTTCAGTGTAGTTTTGTTTCTGGCACTCAAAATTGTAGGTGTTATTGGTTACCTGTGTGGTTTATGCAACAAAAGGAAAATGTTTTCTTTTTGATTAGGCATTGTGATTCCTCCCTGCCCCCTCCCCTGCACAAGTACCTAAGAAGAAGTCTATCCAAGTTTATAAATAATTTGTTTTGTATATGTTATGTTTCACATCTTGATGATCCTCAACAGCTGTACTGAGACTAAGCCCATGCAGAAAGAACATGTTTACTTGCATCTTTCACTCTTACATAGCTGTAGATTTATCTGTTCTCATTTCAGTTTGCTAACTTTTAACTTACCATTTCAACCATGTTCTAGTGATTAATGTGTTTCTGTTGCTAGTATCCCAGTTAAATTAGAGATTCCTAATATTCTTATAGGATTTTAAAGCAGAATTATAATATAGAAAACAGACAAGGTTTTTTGAAAATTATTTCTGTGACAAGACTGAAAAATATCTTAAATCACCTTTAATCAAAACTATGATATGTGAAGTCCATATAGAATCTGTATCATCCTGGACTGTGGAATCTATTGTATAGATCTGGTCATAGGATTAACTGTTTAGCACTATCTGTATGTGGTTGTGTTATTCTAATTTACCATTAAGGCACATGAAACACTTGCAGAAGAAAGTTCTTTAATGTTTATTTTCATGCACAGACATCTTACACTGGAACAGACACTAGCTAATTGCATGAACAAGTATGGATCCCAGAGATTGTACTCATGACTGGTTCCTTGAAAGGATTGTCAGAGAAATGGGAGTCCATAGAATAGGAGTAACGTTCAAACATCATCCATTTGAGTATTATTTTGTTTCTTTGTTTATTGTAATTTTCTGAGATGAGTATTCTCCTAAAGAGAGCAAACATTCAAGTGATTTAGCTGTGCATCTTTTACGGCTGAACAGTTCTGACTAGCAGCACTTGACCAACTTGTTGCCTTCCCCATTGCAGTAGCACAGCAGATAAATTCTCTGTGAGACCATGTTTTTGTAGCATTGTGGAAGTGGGCAGTGTGTGACAGAAAAGTAATTTGATGCTAGTTTTATTCTTACTGGGGGGGTGTGCTTTTTTGCTTTCAGCTTTTTGAAACCACCGAGTGTGGAAATGGATATGTAGAAGCAGGAGAAGAATGTGATTGCGGTTTCCGAATGGCAAGTAGAGTTACATATTACTCCACAAGTCTTTCTTACAAAATATATTAAGATAAATTATGTGATTGGTGGGGAAGGATGAAGGGTTGTGGAAATGAATTTGTTTTGCCTATTAGGGAACTGATTCATTAATGGACTCTGTTAAAATGTTTTTTTCAAGTGAGAATGAGTGCAGACAAGAGAGTGTCCTCAGAGCAGTTCCTGTTATACTAATGACAAGATGTAGCCGTTTCCTAGCAGTTTTTGAATTGCACTGTGGAAATGCTTACCCCTTTACTTTTCATTTATAGTGTGCCTGGAGTGGTAGACTCCTTCTGTGCTTTGGAGATAGGTGCCTGTGTTTGGACAGAATAAGCAAACTCTTGCTTTCTTCTTTATTGTATAAAATAGACCAGTAATGTTTTGCAGAAAGCTGCCCTTTAGATTTGAGTCCTAGTTCTAGTATTTAAATATAATTACACCCGTAATTAGTTTTCTTAATCTTTTTTCAGCACTGAATGCAGTTTGACTTAGCAGCATGCATTTCACACAGGCTATTTTTCCACACCTGTGAAGAGGCTTCAGAAGGTGTGAATCCCCTTATTGCTATAGTGTATGTCACTGTTTTCCCTTTAGTTTAGTATTTAAGCAAAGGATTCTTCCAGCTGATAATTTCAGGTCATTAGTGCTGAACTGAATCTTTTGTCTGCTGGTACGTAGCAGTGTGTTGGAAAGATCGTGAAGAAAAAAACTTACTGAAAATGAAAGCCTAAAACTTTCACTTTATTTTTTCTCCAGGAATGCTATGCAGACTGTTGTAAGAAGTGCTCCCTTTCTAATGGAGCTCACTGTAGTGACGGACCCTGCTGTAATACATCATGTCTTGTGAGTGTTGCTGCAGTATATCCTTCTTTTCAGTTGTCCATGGGAGTCATGCGCAGCCTGTTAAAGTTCAAAGTGTGTTCTATGTAGAATAAAAAGGAACATCTTATGTAGACATAATCATAGTTCTGAACTATATTCTTCATTTTGTAGTTTTTCCCACGAGGCTATGACTGTCGATATGCAGTGAATGAATGTGATATTGCAGAGTTCTGCACTGGAGATTCTGGCCAGGTATGTATGCAGAAGCTTTCTCTGCTTACACTATAGATGTTTGTTTGCACTCATTTTTATATCAATTTAAGAGGAAAATCTGGATTAACAAGCTGCACGCTCATATACCCAAAATAATTGTGGTGGTTATTTTTTAATCCTAACAATATCTTTTAAACATAAGAATAAACTACCATAAACTCAAAGAAAAATATTAATCTAAGTGGACGAAAAATATGACTTCTGTAGGTTTATTTGCTTTTTAAAACTTGTGGGGTTTTATGTATCTGTATAGTATTTGTGCTCCTTTAATATTTGCCTGGTCTATATTGTAAGTACTAAGAACATACTGCAAATGTGAATGAATTCAAAGGTAATAACATTAAGATTTTATGACATAAAGATTTAAATGTTTTGAAAATATAAATGTAGAAAATTACAACTAATTGAGTATAGAATCATAGAATCATTTATGTTGGAAAAGACCCTTAAGATCAACAAGTCCAGCACATGAATGTAACACTGCCAAGTCCACCACTAAACCATGTCCCTAAGCCCCACATCTACACGTCTTTTAAATACCTCCAGGGATGTTGACTCCACCACTTCCCTGGACAGCCTGTTCCAGTACTTGATAACCCTTTTGGTGAAGAAATTTTTCCTAATACCCAATCTAAACCTCCTCTGACTTGAGGCTGTTTCCTCTTGTCCTACCAATTGCTACTTGAGAGAGGAGACTGACACCCACCTTACTACAACCTTCTTTCAGGTAGCTGTAGAGAGCGATAAGGTCTCCCCTCAGCATCCTTTTCTCCAGGCTGAACAACCCCAGTTCCCTCAGCTGCTCTTCATAAGACTTGTATAAAATGTTACGTTTTTTAAGAGTGTGCACATGTATGATAATTTTAAAAGTTGTGGATCTTGCACATTTCTCTTGAAAACGTTTGGCTAATACTCAAAATGTAGGAATAAACAGCAACCAAAAGGTTGTTTTGAGTCCTTTGAAGTAGTCAACATTCTTTACGTCTTCCATTTTCACAGCAACTTTGACACTCAAGGTGATAAATGCTCCTTATCAATATTGAGTATTTGGCTTCAAGGTTATATAAAAATTTCACAAGTGCTGCAGTCATCTACTGCAGCAAGTTCTTAGCTTTGAAGAAATAAGATTCAGGATAGATCATGTCTCTCTCTGGGCATTGACTGTAATTATAGATGCCAATAAATTAACAGTAACCTCTTTTTATTTTGTCATCTGAGACATCCACACTTACAGATAAGTAGCTATTGTTAAGATTTTATTTTAAGTCTTTTATTCTGTAGATGGAGCATTCTTAATGGGAGGGAGGAGAGTTTTCTTAAGCTAGAAAGGCTGCTCGGAAAGTACTGGCTAATATGGTATATTGCCGCAACACACCCTTTCTAGATCCTCACAGGTCCCTTTTTGATGAGAAAAAGCTTTGAGAATGGTCTGCTCCTAGCTTTAGTAATCTGAGGCTTCTGAACCTAATGACTTGTTCATCCCCAAAAAGTTTCCAATGCCAAGAGAACATGATAATTAACATTATAAAAAAAAATAATCCACAGCTTTGTAACCACTAGACTGGTAGTCTACGACTAGATGCTCACTTACTTTCTTAGTGGAACTGGAATGAATGCAGAGGCAGTGTTGCAAACATGGCTCCAGTATTAGCTACCAAATATCCTGTGACTGAACATATCTGTTTTGCTTTTCATTATGCCTCACCTCCTTAATTTCTACTTGGAATATGCAGAAAGTTAGAATAAAACCTTGTATTTCATGGCTCAAGATGTTAATTTTTACATTTGTGTTTGTAGCTATAAAGTTTCCTGCACTAATGATGTTATCTATCCCTTTTGTACGTTGTGCGATTGTCTTTTAAAACTGGGAAAATTCTAATGTGATCCTTTGATGCATTACTACAGTATACATGATTAAAGAAAAAAATCTTAATTTTTTTCAGTGTCCACCAAATCTTCATAAGCAAGATGGGTATGCCTGTGATTCTAATCAGGTATGCAGTGTTTTAAAATCCCTGCACATCAGCAAATAGAAATCAACCAAACACAAGTTTGGGGTTTTTTTTCTTTTTAATCCTGTCTTCCATATTTCTTCATAAATTTTGTCTTTTGGACATCAATGTTGCATGTGTTTTATGCGCTCTATGAATAGTAAAAAGTTCTACTTTGAGTAAAATCTGCTTGATATCTTCACATTTTACATGTAGATCTTTTATTACACTTCATGTTAATAAGTTCTTTACAACTATGTAAATGAGAAGGATAAAGCAGCTGCTGAAATGTCAGTACATATTAGACACCAGCTGACTTGGAGAATCTGGGCCAGAACGTGCACTCCATCTACCCAAATTAATGAAAACTGTTATATATCCAAATACGTGTGTGAAGAATCAAAATGAGACACTTGTTGGTGGAGGGGAAGGAAACTAAATAGCGTTCAGTTCTCATTACTAACATGTTGTGTTTTGTTTAGGGTCGTTGCTATAATGGTGAATGCAAGACAAGAGATAATCAGTGCAAATATATCTGGGGATCTAGTAGGTTGACTTTAACTACCTTAAATGTATTCTATTTCTGGTTCATTCCTGCCTTTGTTTTGTATTTTTAGTATTTTTATTTTTTGTTCTTCCCACCGTAACTTGAAGTTTTCAACTCAGTTTTCTGCTTAGAGTGGACTGCCATGAGAAACTAGCTTGATTGCCAAGTGAAATTTTGAGTTTGGGAGTGGTGACAGATTGTTCTGATGTTCTGTGGTTGCATTAGGTAGGGCAGCAAATGCTGGACTCTGGTGGAATTAGGTGAGAAAACATACAAAATATTGGCAACTTTGAGTTACTGTTACTGAGGAGCAATACTGGGTTTGAGGATTTTTTTGATATAGTTCAAAACAGGTGGTTTTGGGTTTTTTAATGACAGTTGTCAGTTCCATTATCCCAGCAGGGGGTCATGCTTCTCCACCTTGCCTCTCTATGTTATACCATCCTGCAAGTCAGGAGAATTAGTACATTGGTGTGAATTTGAGTACACAGTGTGAATTTAAGCCCAGAGGTGTTGAGTAAAATAGAATTGCAGTTGCAATGGATTTTGCTTGCAGCTGAGGGGCATAAATGCTCTGTGTAATGACTTTGAGACACTTCAGCAGACAACAACTATCAGGATGTCTTGTACTCTAGCACTTAATGTTTTCTTGTGCATTTTGTCTAATCATAACTGCTACTGCTGACACTGCCTATTTGAGGCAGAAGAATCATTCCATTCTAGGGAAGGTGGGAGAGGAGGCATATAGTTTTAACGTTTATTGTTTGTCGTGTACAATACAAAAGTGGCTATATAAGTGTAAAATTGGATGGAGACAACATTTCCTGTGTTTTCTGATGCCTTTTTGAGCTTTATGTTGCCACCTCACAATTACTGATAACATTAAAGGCAATAGATGTTTTTGTTAACTAATTTCTGTGTATCTTACACACCTATAATTTAAAATACTTGGATTGTCTTCTGTACAAGTGATTTTACTGAAACTATTTACCTTTAATGTTTTATCTTCCTCTGTATTGTTGTGCTTTTCTTTTTTAAATTGATTTTAGAAAAAACAAATGGTTAGGGATGGTTTTAATCCTATTAGTTCAGATTTCTACACCTAACAAGCAGTAGAAATTACACTCTGACTGTTCAACCTTGTTTTCTCTGTGAACTCCCAAAATATAAAATAAAATAAACACTGAGTTGATGTCAGAACACATGCTTATGGTATATGCCATGTATGAAACCTTTGATATCCTGAAATACAGATTAGGTTTTGCAGTGCAAACAACGAGATTAAATCTATGGGCAACTGTTATGAAGTGAACAAAATTAGACCACAGATGAAGTCAAATGCAGAAGACAATATAGACACTGTGGAGATTGCTTTTTTAAAAGTTCATAGCAAATTTTGAACACTGAGCATTATTTTAGAAGACCATATGTATTTCAGTTCAGTTTGCTAGGTTCCTAGTGTTGTCACTGGAGAACACTATCTGTGTACACACGTTTAGTTTTCTGGTTTCTATTAAAAAAATACAGAGAACTACTGGAATAAATGGTGCAGGTTTTCAAAGGTCTAGTGTTGCCACTGGAAAGTACATTCCTTTTTCCTGTCTTCATCAACAGAGTCTTCAGGATCAGACAAATTTTGTTATGAAAAGCTTAATACAGAAGGCACAAAAAAAGGAAATTGTGGAAAGGATGGAGACAGATGGATTCAGTGTAGCAAACAGTAAGTTCAGATTGGTAGAGATTATTTATATCTAAATAGAGTAGTACTGGTTTAATACTATCTTAAGCTTTCATGAATGTGGCAGCAGTTTGTTTTGCATTGTTTTGAATCTTCTTTCCCTTACAAGGTTTGCATCTTGAAGAAAAGTTCCATAGCTCATTCAGACAAATACATGGGTGGCTCAGTAATATGCTTGTAAAAGATTCCAGATTTTTTAATTCAGAGGAGCTGGAGGACAAGGCAGCAAAAGGTCACAAATTCATAACACACAAAAACCTCAGACTTGGTAGGGATAAATTAGGCTGCAAATACACACCCTTTTCTCTTGCTCTGGGATTGATACCAGATTATGCTACTTGAAGTTTGTTCCAACCTTTATTTTTGACCAGAGAGGACTATTAGACGCTTGGATGCTATACAGAAGATGACTGTTCCATTTACATGTGATCATTACTAGATGAATATTTGATTAAATTTACTTTTCAAGTTAATGATCATTAGTGGATAGATGTAAATTTCTCCTAATTTACTTTCCGTTTTGTAGTTTTTAAGTATGCATGTAAAAATTTCAGTCTTGGAATGGTGTTTTCCTTCTTTGACTACCTGGTACTTGTCAAGTGGCATTTTTGTTGTGATTACATGATTCACTTTTAACATAGGATCATAAGCAAAGAAGTTGTTTAATGGATTTTTTTTATATTTAGATGAGAATAGTGGTGTTTTGATATTTGTATTTAAAACCTCATTTATATAAAAGCTTTTCTTTGTCAGTAGAGAGATGCAGAAAAATGGTCTAGGTGAAGTGCCATTTAAATTTTCTGTGATTTTTAACAATTTCCAGCATTCATCCAGTTGCTTCTGTGACTTAGGATAATTAGAGCAAGAGATGGAAGTTTCAAGCTGATATCCTTCTTTTGAAGACTGCACATATAACATCAAATAAAGCAGATTCTTTACCAAAATTCAGGCACGCACACTGCATGCTAACAATTGTTATTATGGTTCCATTGTCCTGCCAGGGAAATAAAATACAATTGAAAATTCAAACTTCACATTAACGTATGATGTCCAAGCTACTAGAGAGAGGGAAATGTAATTTAAACTGATATGACAAAGCTTTGTACAATTTGGTTCCTCTTAATTGTACTGTATTGTGTTTAGAGCATAAGTAAATTTTTTTTGTTGATGTGAACATTCAATGTTGCATTAGAATGAACGATTACTTGTTTCTGCCTCTTGTCATTTATAGTAAATAATATTTTATTTCCAGACTTGTACTCTGAAAGACTATCATGCAGCTTATAGTAATATATTACTTAATGTGGTCAGCAGCATCATTGTCAGTCTTTCTTTTTTGTAAGTTTACTTAATATTATTCTAGTAACTTTGATTTATGTTTGCATTTTACAGTGATGTTTTCTGTGGCTTTTTGCTCTGTACTAATCTTACTAGAGTTCCACGAGTTGGTCAAGTTCAAGGAGAAATTATTCCAAATTCTTTTTATCATCAAGGACGAATAGTGGACTGCAGGTAAAAGATAATGCAGTGTTCCAATATGATTTTGCTTTGTCAAACGTAATTGAGTTAAGATAAACATAAATGTAGAATTGTATGATTTTTAAGTGATTAAGATCTTATAGCAAAAACATTATTTTGAGTGGTATTTATTTTTATTAAAAAAAGAAAAGGCTAATATTCCACATTTAAAGAGGGCGAAATGTGGGTTATGCTCCTGATTACTCTGTTTGATCTCTCCAGTAGCAGAACTTCAGATTTTAACGCCCAGCATTACATTTTCTGGGGGAGTGGGGCAGGAGAGTCTGTAATTGCCAAAGACCCATAGATTAAGCATAATGTTTTTGAAGAAATAGCTTGGAGAAATAGCTGTGGGGAAGTGAAGGCTTAGAGGGAGGAAACTGAAGAGTTGTTCCAGGATACGATGTTAAGCTGCAGTTTAGTTAAAGGGCAGGTAAATGGGTTTTAGTCTCCTGTGCACAATATTGGATTTGTATTTTAAAGACATTGGCAACATTGCTGTGATGCTAAGAGTACTCTCTTACATAGTTAGGTCCTGAGTGAGCAATGATTCTTAACTCTTCTGTTACTCTACTAGTATTTTTATTTAAACATCATCACATGGGAAGTTAGTTTTTAAAACTTTTTTCTAGCAATAGTTATTTCGCAGCATTTGGAAAAAAAGAAAAAAAAAAAAAGAAAAAAGTATGGCCCACCAAAGGCTGTTCAAAAACACCCCCGATGCCAAAGGTGTCCATTTTGAGTATTTAAGCCATTATCTAGACTTCTTTTTAGTCTGACAGCTGGAACACCTTATCAGTTCTGTGGACAGACATAAAAACTTCATAATTTTGTTCAATCTGTCTTGAATGCTTGAATGAGAGAAAGGTATGAGGCTTTCATATCTATACTAACATGTTAAATATTTTCAGAAGACTCCAGTCAAAATACTAATAGTGTCTTAAAACTTATTTCTCCTAGTGGTGCTCATGTTCTTTTAGATGATGATACAGATGTAGGTTATGTGGAGGACGGAGCTCCATGTGGACCTCACATGATGTGTCTGGACAAAAAGTGCCTGCCAATTCAGTCCTTGAACATAAGCAGCTGTCCCATTGGTTCTAATGGAAAAGTCTGTTCTGGTCATGGGGTGAGTCTGTAACTGCGAGTTAGCAGCTAAGCTGCTCCAGCTATCTCTGTTATATCTGACCTTAATGTACCCTATGGAATTACCTACTTGAGAGTGTTCCTAAGACCTGTTGATCTGAAAACACTAATGTTAGATTCAGGGGAAGACTGCCATTCTGTGAAGCGTAGATAAAATTTTAGAAGGCAGTTGTCAAATTAGTTCTGCAATTATATCCAAAGTGTTAGTTTTCCTTACTAGCAAGAAAGAGCTTTGACATTAGTAACTGTAAACTTTTGTAATGTACTACCCACATTTCAAGCTATTTGCCATCTTCAGTTCAACTTTTTCATGCATACTAACACCTTTATAAAGTTGGTCCTCTGTTCATGGAGTTATACCTCATGACTTCATTAATTAAAATTCTAAACTGTTGGATCTCAACATAGATTATATGTTCTTCTTAAACAGATACAAAGTGTATAATTTTACATTTAGGCACGTTATATTGTTATTCTACCCATAAGTCCATTTGTCTAAGACATGAGGTCTGTTTTCCTGAACAGATTCACTTTTCCATGTCTTATCAGTCCTTTATCAGTATCAGTTAAAATCTTTCCACTGTGGAATTTAGTGGACAGATACTTGCCTAAGGGGCTAGATTTTATACAGGAAGTTTTTTGTTTTTTTCTTCGTGGTATGTGTAATTGAGGATGAATTTCAGTGCTTCAAATAAAAGGATTAGGTTCAAAATCAAGATGAAAAATTTTAATATTTGTATGTAAAGGATCTAGGAGGTCTAGAAACAGTCTTGGTACTTTTGGAGAGCGGCATGAGTGGTGAAACAACTATGTTGCCTTTTTTGTTTTGCTTTGGATGATTTCAACTCATAATTTTAAAACAATTCTTCAGTTGATCAAACCTGCCACAAGATGTGTTTATCTTCAGCGTCCCAGATAAGATTCTTCAGTGAATACTTTAAGAAGCAGAGTGAGATAAAAGTTAAATTTAAAAAGTCACATGTACTACTTGTAATCATTAGTGTGTAGTTTATTGTCTGGTTTTTGGACATTATGTTCCAGTGTCCAGAAGACATTATTAGCTGATGCCTAATGATTGACTTCATTTCTAGTCCCATAATCAAAACTTCATTCTTTGTGTCTATTTCTTATGTCGTGATTTTTCCTTAGTAGCCTCTCTAGCAACGTATTCCATGTGTTCCATTCTTTTTCATATGGAAAGTTTATAGCTATTAACTCTCGATTTGATATTTTAGGTTTTGTCAGTTGGATAGGTTTTCCTGTCTCTGATAAATGTACTGCCAATTTTAGTGAGTGCTAAGTCCTTTTTTAGAGGTCATTCAACTAAACATAGACTTAGGAAGAACTATTTCCTCTTTCTGGAAGATAAGCAAGCACTCCTTATTGCTGCCTAGAAAACAATGATGAAATGATGACAAAACCAGTGATGAAAACCTTACCTTTTTTTCTACATGGGAGGAAGCTGTAAATGAGAGGTTATAAAGCATTATCATCTCTTGAACCTTTTAAATGCAAATGCTTGTATTCTTTCTGGACATCCAGGCTCAAGGTCAAGATAGTTGGTTAGTGAAGATCTAGCTAGTCTAGACAGAGGTTTTTTTGGATGAGAATTTATGTTATTTTTTAAATCCTATGCAGGTGTTGTGTAGTGCAAATGGTTATGGAACTACAGGAACACTTCTGCTTTTCCTAGCATCGGAGTGTATTTACAGGGTTAAAGCAAGCTTTCAGGTTATTGATTTTATACTCGTTTTATGATATTACACTCATTCTGAACACAGTGCTATCGTTACAATATATAAATGGATAAGTTTTATACTCTAAATTACATACCTAATTGCATGTCAAGCAAACTTAATAAAATGTATTTAAAAACCAACTGCTGTATTTTATTTTCTTTTCCAGGTTTGTAGTAATGAAGCCACTTGCATTTGTAATTTCTCCTGGGCTGGAACAGACTGCAGTATTGATGATCCTATCAGGGATACTGGTAGCAAGAAGGATGAAGGACCCAAGGGTTTGTGTGATTTCAGTTTTGATGTTCTTTGAAGTATTTATGATATTTTTCTGTTGATACATGGTAGTAGAATTAGCATATAGAAAGAGAGTAATATTGTGCAGTCCTGCTTAGACCCAGGTAGTAAAATTCTGCTTTGTGTAGATGAATTAGGTGTTTCTCTTTTAAGACTTGATTAAACTTCTTAATTTTTCTAACCTAAATTTGGGTAAGATTTCAGTAGATGATGGTATGTACTTTCTGGTTTTTCTTTTGTCCCATATTCTCTATTTTTTACAATCATTTTCTTTGTGATTGGAATCTAAGTGTAGCTCTTATATTTATATGATAATAGAGTATTTATGTTTTAGTAGAGATTTCCAGTTCCCTTAGTTGTTCTCAGCTAATTCAAAGAGCTGTGGCATAAAAAAAAAGGAAAAGTGGAATGTCCCTGTGAAAAAAACTTTTGATTCTTTGAAATCATATTTCAATGGGAGGAAGAAGAAATAAATTAATAAGAGGACTTACATTATTCTTAACAACTATTATTGCTTACTCTTATGTATTTAATAGGTATTTCAACTGCATATGAAGTAGAAATTCCTACCGAGGAAATAATTCGTGAAAAAAGTTTTTCAAAGAGGAAGAAAAGCATTTGAGATTCTCTCTGACTTCTCTGCCAAAGAATGTCATTGGATTGTGCTGTGCAATTTTTAATGTCTTTTGTGTCATAAGGACATTGTCCAGCATCAGACTATATTTATCCAGTGTTATGCATTTACAGATAAAGTTCCCAACAAACAACTGAGAAACGCAGACAAAAGTTTTTCTGCTATGTCCCGGTTCCAGGTCCTTCTGTGCCTTATGCAAGGCTGATGAAAAGAAGATAAAGTTGTTTTAAAATGTAATCCTTAGAACTCAATCTCTAATATGATTACACTTTAAAATGTCCAAGGGGGACAGGATTTCAAGGGAGGACAGGCTTTTGGTATGTCCCTCCAGAATGGCTCTGCTTCTGTCTTGTGTGCCTTATTCTTTTGCCCCTTAGCAGAATGGTTCCAGTAGACCTTTACCAAGAACTGTTGAAGAGATCATCTTAAAACAAGTTACCACTGTGAAGGAGGCTCTCTAGAACAGTCCAGATTGGCATTAGGGAATCTGTGCAGGTGCTTCCTGGACTCCTAAATCCCACCACTGTTCATTGTAGAGCTACCTGGTTTGTACCCTGTCCTACAAAGCTGCTTGTCATTCCATTTCCCATAAAAACCTTCCTAACTCTGGAACACTGCTTACAGAGTCTTAAAAAAAAATAGTGGAGAACAGCACTATAGGGCTGATTACTTCTCTTTATGTGTGGACGTGGAGAGCAGTATTTACAGCTGTGACACACAGTACATGAATTTCTTATTTCCAAATCCTGTAGGTAAGAAATAATTCCCTCCTTTGTAAAAAGGTCTGTAGGAAAGGCAACACAAAAGGTACACTTATCTTGGTTAGATTCTTGTAATTCAAATTAACTCATTGAATTCAGAATGGAATTACCTTTAGGTAAATCAATACATCAATGCTGAAATATTCTGGGGAAAGTCTTAAATGAATAGTATCTTCATGGATTTCTACCACTAGGTACAGACATAAAGTTTAGACTGCATTATTCAGTGGAGTCCTCTGCAAAAAGCCAGATTATGTTTTTTACAAGGTGGCTCAATGATTTCAAAAGATGGATTATTTTTACTTATGTCGTTACAATAATTTATTGATGTTGAGGCACCTAGAAATTAATTTAGGAGCTGGAATGCTGACAGCTACGTTAATCTCTTTTGGTGTGCTAATAGAGGAATCCCTTTGTGAGAAGATGTCAGAAGATTACAGAAATAGTTTTCTATATTGTGAAGATCCAATGTACTAGTTTCTGTGAAGTTTTTTCCCCTTATTATCAGTATTTCCCATGTCATATGCCAGTTTACAGGGCTGAGGCAGAAACCAAAATACTTGTTTTTCCTTAGCTCTAAATTTGAGTTTTGTTACATTTCAGAAACGGAACATTCATGATCTGAAAATTCACTTAATAGATTTAAGATTTTTTTTACACTGTAAATCCAAGCATTTTTCTTACTACAATTAGAGCATGTATAGCTAGAAAGTATTGCTATTTATTTATATATTATTATGATAATTGACAGTTGACTGCAACTCCTGCTGCACTTTTCAGACCTTTCCATCATCCATCAATGGCTTTTGGTTCCATACTCAGCAGCCTATTGTATTCTGCACTAGTAGACCTACACAGCAGGCTAGCAGTTTTGGGAAGACAGAGTTCTTGCTGATATTTTTTGGCTATCGCAGAAACTTTAGATAATTTTAGAATGTTGGCTCATAGTTTTGAAATCAGTAGGACTCCATATGCATCCAAGATTCTTCCTTTGCAATTTAATTTGCAGAATTAGGCCTATGTTTGACTAGTGGAATAGTATAGTGTGTATTTGTTTTTCTAATATAAAACTTATGTCTCAAGTGTGTGTGTGTGTTTGTGTATATTTATGAAACCATTTCAAAACAGACTTTATTCAGCATGAAGACTACATATAAAGTTTTTGTCCCTTGGAAAAGTTCCCATTAGACAGGGAATTTAGCTGCTTCTTTGTGGTCTATTATGACTCAGTGAATCTATCAAAAGAGTTTCCTTAAAGAATGAAAAATAAGGCCTCAATGTCTTGAGAGACTATCTGAATATATGGAAATTCCAGGGTGTTACCTGAAGCACATTTCCATGTAGGTTTTTCCTTTTAAATACTGTTATCTCTCTTTAGGTCATACAGATAAATAGAGTGTCCTGTTGATAAATGCAGTAACAAAGTAAAATACTAATAATTAGTAAAGGATTAATTAAAAAGTTGGGTTTTTTTCTTTTCCTGCAATCGAGCTGTTTCCAGACAAACAGTTTTCATTTGCTTAGTTATATTATGGATACAGTAAGTTTCTGGTGATCAAAAGGAATTTTTCTTATTGGCAATTTATTTACATTTTGGCTGTTTTAAATAAGCAGTAGGTTATTCCCTTTTTAAGTAAGTAATAGAACCACAAGCTAAAAGGAATAGTCTTAAATTTACAGGGAATCTTCTCACTGAAATGTTTGTAAGCATTCAAAGAAAACCAAATATAGCTAATTTCAAAGTTTTAAAATCTACTGTATTTACGTAAAGGTTTGTTAGGAGGTTTGAATTTGGATTATAGCGTAAAATATTCCTTTGAGGAATTATTTCATGTTTTCATTTCAGACATATATGTGATCATTTCCTTAAAAAATCTTCCCTTTTCCCTCCGCACAGTGAGCATGGCCACTAACAGGCTAATAGGTGCAGTGGCAGGGACCATTCTGGCCTTGGGGGTGATTTTTGGAGGCACAGGGTGGGGAATAGAGTAAGCATTTTTCTTAGTTTGAGTTTTATGTTTGGTGCCTAGTGTGTGAGGTAACCGTATGCACCCAAGCCCTCTGTGTATTACCCTGTTAGCTTTGTCATGTGGTGACTGTATTTGTCATGTGATTTGACTGTGTCTGTGTCATGTGGTTTGCTCATGCAGTGTTGAACCTTCTCCTGTCTGGGATAATGTGGGGCATAAAACAATAAGTTTGTGAATTTTTACATTGTCACAGTAAAATCAAATGTCTAAATGTTTCCATTACACCAAATTATAATAATAATGGGAGGAAATGGAATTTTGTGATTATTTTGCAAAATAGACTGAGTAACGTGGACCGTTTCATAAAATCAGAAATTGTTACAATCTGTGGGGCTTTCAGTCTAATAATAGGCCACATGATTTAGCTAGGAAGATAAAAGCTGATGATAAGAGTACAGACAGCTAGTTTTACAGTAAAGCTTCTGAATGTTCTGTTGCTAGGATTCTGTTGCCTCAAGGCAGTGGAATGCTATAGAATTCATATGTAAAAATGAAGTATAGAATTCATATGTAAAAAATATGTATGAGCAATATTTACTGTCTTTTCATGGTTTTAGGAAAGTGTAATCTTAAGTGTTAGCTCACTACCTCAATTTTAACAGTGGCTATGATTTTTATGTGTGTGTATATGTATGTATATATGCACGTATAAAAATGCCCATATAAGAACTCTCTTCGTTCTACATTCACTGTTCAAACTACAGAATAAATGGTGGTGGTCTGCTCGTCTAAGATTTCAGCCTTCACTGTGTCTCTAATACTATCTATATATTACCTCTGTTGTGTGACGGTGCCATCTCTCTGAAGGGGGAATCCTAACCTGTTTGTGATTTCCAGTCAGGCTCTGAAAAAGCATTCAGGTACAGTTCTAATTAAGGCTACATAGGCAGTCTTCTGGTAGGCAGCGTTTTGTGTGTCTGAGTTTGCAGCTGTAGATACAACCTTTTTAGCTTTTGCTGAACTGGACTGTTACATGAAACTCCTCCTAGATTCTCAGAAGGGTTAGAGACCTTTGCACTCACAGAGGACAACTAATAGAAAAACAAATAGAAGGAAGAGGGTAATAGATCATCTGCTTGAGAAAGATCACATTTCTGTTTTATAGCTGTTTGCTAAAAAACTGAAGACTGAGGATTGTAGACATTTGGAACACAGATTCTGGAACAGAATATTTATTTACCTACAGGTTGAGGACCATTTGCCCTCTGCTTTCAATTCTGCCTTGTACCCTTTTGTTTTTAACTTCCCTTACCTGCTGTCTCAATCCACTCAGCTCTCACCAACATCTCTGACCATTTGCTCTTGATCCTCTATCCTTCTGCTATAATTCCATCTTTTCTTAATCTTTCTTCTCTTATCACTCACTACCTGACTCATTCTTACTTTTGTTTCTATGCACACTAGTTTCCTGGATCCCATCAATCTTTTCTCTGTCCTCTGATTGCTTCAGATAAAAATTCACATTCAAGGCAAGCCGCTGCTACTTCGTGTTGCTTGGTTTAAAGAAAGCACATGGGGAACACAAATAGCTTCTCTGTCCTAATGCTCTTGAGGCCCTGGTGGCTGTTACCACTGTGGCTGCAGGGGAGGTTGTGTTCATCACAACCTGATGCCAGGTCCTGCCCTTCTTCCACTTTACTTGCAAATTGCAAACTTTTCTTCAAAGTGCTAAAATAAGTCTAGTTTCTTAATGCTTTATGAATTTGATTTAGTAATCCTGGGGGACAAAATGTCAGTCTTTTTTTTTTTTTTTTCCAGATTTCATCCTAAAGTGGATACTTAGCTTTGATAACTTAAGCTAGAGGATATGGTTGGCAAAGTGACAGGCAAGAAGAGAAAATGTCAAACCACTCGTGTGTTGTTATTTGCACGACAATCTGCAGTAAACTTGCCTCTTGTATACAACTAGCAGAGTTTCAACACAATGTATATTAATTCTTGTAGAATCGGTCTGATGATGATGAAGATTTAGGGAATAGTCTGAAGTCCACTGAAATTAAAGGTGTGTTCTGTTTTAACGCAGTTTAATTCAGTAGGATTCTTGTCAGGGTCCTAAAAGATGACTAGGGATGATGCAATAGCCATGCCAAAGCAGATAGCTCCCTGTGGGAAGGGGTGGTGTGCCAGGCAGTTACACTGCAGTTAGTTGCAGGAGCTTCCTCCTCATAAATCTGTGCCTGCAGCTTACAGCGGTAATGTGACAGAAGGAACAAGTATACCAGAAGTGTTGTGTCATGTGATAGTCTGGATGGAAAATGACCCCACAGTATGGTGGTGGTTAAAACTTTCCTCATACTTTCTGTTTGCTTGTATTATGTCAAGCATCTGAGTCCCAAGGACTAGAGAACCTCATTTAGCTGAAACATAATTGATTTATATTTTTCTTCATAATGTCACTCATTAAAGTGAGCTGATGCAAAGTGGGCTTCATACTGGTAGAAAATTCTGATTTATTAAACACAATGTCCTTGATAATGCTTAATAAAACATAAGGCATACATCCATAAGGTATAACATGTAAAAGTAGCCCCACTGTAAGGACTTTTATGTGAACAGTCTGTTATGGTCCTTAAAACAGTTTACCAATAATCCTCTTAAATCTGTATTTCAAAACTGGAGGACTCTGATCTGGTAAACAAATGTTGCTGCTTAGTAATCATAAGTCTTCCACCAGCTTTGTTTTTATATTGAAGTCAGAAATGAGATTATAGTCTTATTGATTATCAGTGAAATTTTACCTTGAATGTAGCCTTTTCAGTTTCTTTACTAGGAAAAATAGCTGTTCCTCTGCCTTTGTAGGAACAGCCACTACCACCATGCTGTGAAGCAGTTTTAAAATTATTCCAGAGGAATGGACATGCCTTTATCCACAGCCATCTATCATTTTCTCTGCTCTTAGGCTCTCTCTAGCAGACAGCCTAATTCTCACAGGCATTTATTTTTCAGCAGGGGGTTTGTGTTAAAAATGAACATCAGTACTTTAATCACTGTCACCTTGTAAAGTTGGGTCAGATATGAAAGGTTTTTATCAGAACCTATTTATACTTAACACAAATTTAGTGGCTTTTCATTTTACTGAACCTAATTGTTTTGTATATGATTCTCTTCTGTTTAAATTTGGATTGAATTCTTCCACGTTTATAGTATATTATAGTATATTATAGTATATATAAACATATATATAGTATATGCTGTTTGTTGAATGGATGTGCAGTATGAAATAGATTTTTTTTTTTTCCCCAAACATTTAATAACCAGGGAACGTAGTAAGATGTAGAAGAGTGGCCATTTAGTACATCCTTATCTAAGTTATGACTGTGTTAATCATTGTACCTCTTTTGTGGGGAGAGAGCCATTCTGTGGCTAGGAAGAAATCAGCTTTAGAATTTTTCAAGGCTTGTAAAATTTATTACAGATAAATTAGTTGCTGTGTCTTCAGTCTTTTGTTGTGTGCAATCATTTGATAAAATCCAGAGTAAGCCATAGATCTGAGTCAGTAGCTCCTCAGGCTGCTGTTGAAAGCAAGCCTTTATTTGGAATATAATGCCTATGGAGTGGCATTTGTGTACCCCCCACCATGCTCACTCCTGTTGATTTGAGCCAGGTGTGACTTTAAAGGTAAGTCCAAGTAAGATATGTTCTTCCAAATTGTGAAGAATTACCTTTTAATTCTTGTTGTCAAATTTGTGCACTGCTCATATCTGTAAATCTCATTATATTTCTGTTTCAGTCCAAGTCTTTTACTCATATTCCTGAATACTCTTTATGTAGGAATTGCAGGAAGCAATTTTTAAAACTTGGTTTTCTTTTAGCTAATCTGATCTCCAGAAGCAGTGATATGGGAAATGTGTAATGGATGCAGTGACGTTAGGTCACTGCAGTAAGTTTTAAAATTTAGGACACGTACTTACTGTAGCGTCTGAGACTAGGCAGAAGGTTTTGTGATACCGACCTAACAGCTTAAAATGTTCAGTTGTTGCAGCTGCCCTTTCTCTTTCCTTTGCTGATCTCTGGCTGCTCCTTCTTCTTCCTTGTTAGCTGTCATTTTTCCAAACTCAGTTTCGGAACATTTAAAATAGGAAAATTTCAGTTGCTGTGTAGAAGTGTTGGTTTGGGGAGAGTGGGATAGGAGGTAAGAAGTGTTTTTGAAGGCTATATCTGAATATGTAAATGTTTAAACAGAAAGCGTGCAATATGCTGCAAAAGAACTATTGGGTTGGTCTCATTTTGCCTTGAGCTTAGATGCAATTAGCTTTACATCAAAGACTGCTCAATAGGAAGTTTTTGTACAGACCTACTGTCAGTTTTCCTCCACCCTGTGTAAATAGAGCACTTAAGGGTCAATTATATTATTTAGGTGTTCTCTTGCCCTCTTCAGAAAATTGCCCAAACATATTTTGTGCCGCTTCTTTTTGTTGCTCTTTTTTCCTGCTCCACCCTTCCCCACTTTGTTGTTAAGTAGTTTCTTGAGGATGATGAAGAGATGCTTTGATGTTTGGAAAGCCTAATGGGAATACAGCTTTTATTTCAATTTTTATTCCTTATTATATAATCCTTTGCTTTTGTCAATTGTCTGTAAAGGTAGCATTGACGTAACTGTAGGGAGACTGAACTCCGATTAGCAAGTGGTGCTAGATGCTTTCTGCTCAAATTAAAATATCTCCCATCTTTCAGGATCTCCATGAAAAAAAGTTAGGCTTTTTGATTTTTTTTTTCTTATTTGCTGCAGTCACAAAACAACATTCATACTTTTTCTTTTAAGTTAAGGACTTATTCATAAATATCTTTGTGTTCTCAGCTGACATTTCATTCACTAGGTAATGGAGTAAGTCACAATGGAATTTACTGTATAATACTAGATTTTTATCTATGGTAGATGTCAGCATAGCATAATGTAGAGACCAACAGCTTTGTTCATTCTCACTGTTAAAGAAAAGTAAGTTGGGCTTGCCGAAATCGTCTTAGAGACATCACCTTGTGTGTGCTGTCTGTATTCCTTGAATTGTTTGACTACCCTTCAGTTGCTTCACTTAATGTGAATAAAGTGGTTGGTTCTTATGTCTGTCTTACCATAATCCTTTATCACAGGTCCTAGTGCCACCAATCTTATAATAGGCTCCATCGCTGGTGCCATCCTGGTAGCAGCTATTGTCCTTGGGGGGACAGGATGGGGCTTTAAGTAAGCAATGCCGCATGTCTTCTCTTCAGTGGCTATGGCATTTCTATTTCTTGCTTATATCACTAAATTTTGAGTTCCTGCTACAAGATTTCTAAGTTAAAACTCCCCTCCCCCCCTGCCCCAAACTATATCAAACTGCTTTAAAGAGAATTACACCTGCCTGAACAAGAGGAAGAAATGGATTTGAAATCAGCAGATGTCATCAGGGTGCAAAGTTGAAGAACAGCAAAAGAATGAATATAACTTTCAGGAGTTCACCCTAACACTTAGGGAGCAAGGTCTTTTTTTCACCTCCAATTAGTAGCATTGTTCTTATAAGTTGACTACAGTGGTTAAAAGCCCCAAAAGGTACTTGTCTCAGAGTGCTTATTTTGAATGCAGTAGTACTTTCAAACTGATAAACTGTTTTATAATTAAAGGCTTCATGTGTAAATGGTAAGTGGTGGCAGTAGCAGAGTAGTTCGCAGTAATGAATGTGTTGACACAGTTGACTCAGAAGTACCAGAGCTAACTTTTGTTTGTGGTTACTGATTATTTTTTTTTTTAATTAACAATTCAACTTTTTTTTAAAAAAAAAAAGTTTAGAGAGAAGATTTTGAAATCTTGAGCTGTCTCTTGCAAGATGAAAACATTTCTCACCCAATTCTAGTTCAATAAGAGTAGCATACCAGTCCTTCTGCTTGGGGCTGTTAAAGCAAAGAGAGAGTCTTGTACGAAGGTATTTAATTCTTGCCTTTTTTTGTAGTGTCAAGTCTGCCTACATATATGGTCCATATTTGGTAAAAAGAATCTAAATTTAGAATCGATGTTTATAACCTTACAATTCACAAAAGTGTTAAGCACAAGTAATTTCTCATGGTATTCAAGTTTGTATTTCTTTTCAATAAAATGAATCAAGATTAAGCCATGATACAACAATAAGCCCTAATTTCTCAATCAGTTTTTTTATAATAATTCAAATGATATTTTATATGGCCTATATTAATATTCCATGTCTGAGTTGAGAAGAAAAAAAAAATCTATTCCTTAATTGATTAAGGTGGCTATCAAAGTAGCATGTAGTCATCAGGTCATATTTATCTGTTAATTCACTTTCAGAGGTCACTGAAAAATGTTTGTTTACTTCTGGTTTAGACTGTTATATTTTCATAGTGTCTTGTGGCCTTAAGTAGACATGATTATAGAAGCAAAATATTTCTAGATCTTTCAGCCCTGCTGGAAATAGAAAACAGGCTCTGCCCTTTCTTCTGGACAAGGCAGTTACTCCTTCCTATTGCACTGCCTGCCATCAGCAGTTTTCAGAAAGACCCAGCACAGGCCACAGTCATTTTTCTCTAAATGCTTGTTCTGGGAGAAGTAGCACTTCCCCTCGACACAGGCAAGCGTGCAGTGCTGCGTGCATCAGCGGTGGGAGTCAGTGCTCCACATCTGCTTTAGGAAAAGTTTAAATACAGAACGTATCAAAACATCAGTCTTTAAGCATGGGTGTATCATCTTCATAAGCCTTTTAATGCCTGCTGATAGATTTACCATGACCTGCTGTATTTTTTGTGGTTGTTTTCTCACAGCTTCTTCTCAGTTAAATAAATGAAATCCACTTATTTGTACAATAAATACCCCTAGGTCAGCCTCCAGTATTTATAAATGGCTACAGGGCAGCTCTGATTGTGTAGTTTTGATAACAGTCCTATATCTTTTGCGTTGTGTCTCCTATGGCTGAGATTTGTATTTTCCATATTTATAAACAGTAAAATAATTTAGTATGTATGCCTTTTTGATTTGTGATGTTGTTTCATCAAATCTATGTTAAAAGGCAGACATTCAAATGAGGTGTGTATTTTAGAATATACAGCGATAGACGTGGATTCACATGTGGTGTGAACACAGGAAGGAATTGGCATTCTTTTCGTCTGATGGATTGAAAGATTTCTTCTGTGTAAAGGCCTAGTCTGGGAATAATGCTTTTTTACAGACTCTCTTTAATACTTGGACATACTCTGTAGCGTTAACTGATACATTTATGTTTTTTCTGCCATATCCTACTAGATGCAGAATTATAGCAGAGAGTTGTCTTTTAATCTAAATAAAGCATATAAACAATACATTAAAATTTCAGTTAGTTGCAGAACTCAGGGTGGGTTTTTTTTCCTGCACTACACTGTGATTTTAGGTTTTTAAATAAATACAGCCAAATTTTCTGCAAGGCTTGTGTTAACATTTCTGTTAAAATTTTTGATTTATTGAGAACGACAATGCACACACATTTAAAGCAACAATATTAGAAACACTGATAATACAAGTTCCCATAGGAATTAGCTAAGTTAGATTTTGTTAGAAAAAATAAATGTCAGATTATACTTTTGGACCAGTTTTCTGCTGTCAGGAGACACGTTGGTTACTTAGGAATTCATATACTTTCCAGACATGGAGTGCTCATCCCTAGATAATGCATTTGTACTGCAGAAAGTAATTTGTTGAAAATACAGTACAAGTCATTAAAATATAAAAGCTTCGGGCAGTTTCTTCCTGTGAATCTTTTTAAGCTGTCTTGTGCCGTAACAACCTTTGCTCTTTTGCATCAGTGCTGCAGTGCCTGCTAGCAGCTCTGCGAGCTGTCTGCCTGCTGACTGGGGACACCTACACTCAAGAACTTGCATGAACACACATCTTTAGGAGAATCCCTCCCTGTCTGAAACAATACTGTATTTAATCAATTGTTTATTTCTCCTTTCTGTTCCACATCTCTCAAACTACTCTCACAAGTGTTCAGCTTTGCATCCTGGTGTCATTCGTTTGCCCAAATGCAGGAGTTTGTTATCTCTACAGAGAAATATATTGGAAATGTCTCCTGAAGCTCTTATTCTCCAAAGAGCAAGATAAAACTGTTTGTTCTGTAGCAGAACCTCAAGTACACTGGCCTGGCCTAGCTCACAGCTTGAAGTGCATGTTTCTTCTGGGGGTCAGAGGGGAACTGAAAAGGCTTTTCAGCTTGTATACAAAAGAGGGCTAGCACATGTAGACCCTCTGATACTTTGCTTCGGATATATCTGGAGGGACAGATGAGGATAATAAAGAGGATTTTGACTTTTCCTTTTTAAGCAAGTGATATGTTTAGTCTCTGCAAATATGAGAGAAGGTAGCTAATGCTTTACAAACTGGGAGATGTGATTTCTGTTTCACAGGTTATCAGATGTTCATATGAACATACGGTACTGTGGTGTCAAGTCCATATCAAACGTAAGCTGCAACTAAGCAAACTTTGTTCATGAACTGAGGTGGTGGGGTGGTGGGGTTGGAGGGGAAGTGTAAAAGAAGGCTTGATGCAAGTTTGGAGGAACAAAGCAAAACAACAACGTACAGTTTCAAGAGTGAATCCTGGGTTAATTATTCTAACGAAGTTAATGTGTGGATAGAATAGGAAAGAAAAAAGTTAACTGACAATTTGAGGAGGTATAGAACCTCATTATGCATTTCAAGTGGCTTAAAGGCTGTGGGTGGAAACCTTAGATTTTACTTCATTTGGGCCTTGCATAGTATTTCTAAAGCTGTTGGTGTTTAGACTGCACTGAGGGAGTGCTACATCTTTCTACCTCAACTCTGATGGGTAATGTACAAAAGTACAGCATTCATGAAATGTGAAGTTCATTTTCATGTAGCAAGTCTGTGCAAGATTTTAATGTGCAGTTAATATAAGAATTTTACCATTAGAGGAGTAGTTCTGTGCAGTGGCTGCAGTCACAGTCTCAGGGGCCTATACTTACTCTTTAGCATATATTCACTTAATTTTGCAAAGCTACTGCAGTAAAATAAGCCACTTAAATGCTTTTGTTGCTGACTTTAACATATTAAAGCAATTTTTGGTAATAAAGCAACACTGCTAAGAGGCAATGCTAGTAAAAGTGATGTGGAAATGCACATGAAAAGTGGCTGACAGAAGAGTTGATTGTAGGCACAATTCTATTTCCAGCAATAGTTTCTTAGCTGCAGGGTTTTCTGTCTCTTTAATGGAAGATGAATGGCGCTGGACCAGAGATTCACTCACAATACAACAGATGCCAAGCTTTAACTGGTCTGTGCAGATGCATTTAGACCCCAAAAGTTTCTGCACAATAAGGAATTCTAATGGCAGCTTTGTGAGCAAGGAGGTTCTGGTCCCTTACCAGCATTTCTGTAAGGCATGTATTGTGGACTTCAGTAGAGTCATCACTACACAAAGAGCAGCATTAGAATCCAGTGTAAGATATTTTATCACTTTTTTCCAAACTACTAAAAAAATATGACAGGTCAAGATCTTATTTTAAACTGCTAATTTTAGTCCCTCATTTTGTTAATTTGAATCAGTTTTGTAGCAAAAGGTCATTTATTGAAGCTCTTCTCCAGCATTTGAACCATGCTTTAGGAATGCCTGTGTAAACATTAGCTATTTGAAGTGGTTAAAGTACTCATTGGGATAAACCTTTAAATACTGAAGTAAAGCTTTGTAGTTATGTGATCACAAAGGCACAGATTTGTAAGTAATGTACTGTGTAACCACATTCCTGATTAGCTGAAAAAAGAAAAAAAAAAAAAAAAAAGTGGAGGATTGCAGCATGGTATTTCTTATATACATCCAGGCTTTTTTGAAACCAGTTCTTCTTTTCTGAAATATTTTTCCATTGTAAAGATGACCATATGAGAGAGGCAGTGATGTGCTCTTTTGATTTGGAATCGCCTATAGTTTTTTTCTTGTCAGAGACGCTTTTCCTGGTTGGATTACAGACTGAAAGGCTGAGCCTAGTTATTTAAAGAGACATTAAGTGCAAAAAAAGAAGTTAATGTTTTAAAATCTTCTACATAAAACAACAAAGAAGTAGGAAACAGCGTCATTCTCCTGTGTGTCCTTCCACAGAGGCCTCTTCTGGCCCCTGCATTACTGCTTTACTGGAGCATACTGAAAGGAACCTTGTACTACTGTAAGACATAGCTAAAGAGGTGCAAATATCCAGGACCTGATACTCACTTAGTTTCCTTTATTTTTATTGTCATTTTCTTGGGAAAGAGACTTGTTCATTTGTTGATTTAAGTAAGACTACCATCTTCGTTTTAGTATTGAAATCGTTGGTAATTTGGGATGAAGTCATTAAAGCAGGTCAAAGAATCAGGCTAGAATTCCTGCAGGATAACACCTGACTGCCTACCTCTGAAGTGCTGCGATCGCAGCAGAGAGATGTGGCAGGCTTTTGTTAATGCTTTGCACACAGGTACTGTGTGCTCTTACTGACACTGTACCTGATGTACTGTATTTCAGAGATTAGTTCAGACTCTTACAGTAAATGTTGGTTTAGTCCTTCACATGTTTCTTTCTCATACAGCACGTTAGCAGAATACCCTAAGTATTCTAGAAGAAAGGCAGTGATTTGCTCAGTATCTTATTCCTTGAAGTGTGTATTTCTGCTGGATAAAACTAGGAAATGAGTAAATACATGGTTTGGACAGATCACAGAATGGATGGTGAGAGCGCAGCAGACTTTGCCTGTGGCATGAGTGCTGGCTGAGCTGTCACACAACCAAATGGTCCTTACTGGAATACTACACTGGTGGAGGTCAGGTTAGAAAGGATTTGATAGGATAAAAGTCAAAAGTGTTTTCTTACAGGAGTTGTACTGGGAAGCTGGCATAGCTTCTGTCCTCTGTACCATGTTCTAAGACTCAAAAAATCCCATTTCTTTAATTAAAATAAGCTCAGGTAACAATGTAATTCAGTCTAGATTTTAATGACTTGTCTTTGAGCAAACTGTAATATGGTACTTGCTCTAGAGTAGAAGGACAAGTTGCATCATCTGGATTTTTTACAGGCATCGATGATTTGTTTTAAGGAGACTGACTAATTAGTTGCTCATCAGTAGTGTTTGAACTCAGGTATGCTAGACAGTGTTTAAAGGAGTGAGACAGGGGGAAGAGAAGCAGACATCCTCTCTCCATTGAAAGTGGCAGGACAAGCAGACACGAAACAGGTTTTAACTCACAATTAACCAAGTTATATTAAATTTGTACTTCCTATCATGCAGTTCTGCAAGTTGGCCTGAAAAAATAATTTGCTAATCTCAAACTTACCTGCAGTACAGAGGAGGATGGGTTGAGATATTGAAGTAATGTCAGCCTCATTCAAAAGGAGCTTTACTACAGTACTCCTAGAGGGGAAGTGATTGAAATATGAATACAGTGATCTTTCAGAAACCAGCAGTTCTTAAGCATACAACTTGCAAAAATGTAGGCACTGGTACCCAAGGAAGGAAAATTAAAAAAAACCAAACAACAAAGGATGCCCAAGAACTGCCAGTCTCTGGCAATCTTCTCAAAGAGGAGTTGCCTTTGCATACATCCATTAGTCTTTTAAACCACCAGGCAAACCTTGTGTATTTATAAATATTGTAGCAGTGGTAGTAGTTAGCAGGGCTACAGAAAATGCTGGGGTTGGTATGTAGCTTTAGGGAATTTATGAATTCCTGTTCTGTATTTTTTGCATGTCGGTTTGGTGGCGGTAGTGGTGCGTATGCCCAATGTTAAAACTAAATGCATGAGCCCCTTGCTTGATGCCCCACATAAAGCCAGATACTGGGGAGGTTGCACCCAACTTCTGTTGTCGCTTCCTAATGTCTTGCTGTTTGACATAGGATATCAGTATCGCAGGAGACTGGATATCACTGACTAGCTTGCTTAGCCACTGTTAACATTAAATTATAATCACACAACGTACAAAACTGTCCAGTCTCCTTCGAATGCAGTGTCTTTGCTATATTTTGCACCTTACCAAGATTCACAGCAGTTATGGTCAATAGTGTGGTAAGAGCTCACAGAGGCACTCAGTTCTTTGTCACGCTGGAATACGTAAAATAAATTCTTGGATAGCCAGACACGGACACTCAAGTCTCTGTGTGCTTATGTATTTCCAGTACTGGCACTTCTGACTCATACCCTTTAGGTACACGCATGCTTCCTTGGCCTAGTGGATGCACATGTTACTGTGGGCTGAAAGTTTCTACAAATTTAGAGCACCACTTGAACTACTACAGAAATAATTGAATTCCATATGCCAGCAAGATCTTTAAACTGCATACTTGATACTGTGCTACAGAAAGCATGCAACCAAGGGCTAACAATTTAAAGAATCTGCAAGTTACTTGTTAAACTGTCTCAGTGTGAGCCTTTTACTTTACTATGACCTTGGCCATGGCTTTGTTCCTGTTATATCTAACTAATATCTTGCATTTTTCTCTTTTCGTCTCCTTTTGATGCAACCTGGAAGAAATGTCAAAAAACGAAGGTTCGATCCAAGTCAACAAGGCCCTATCTGAAGAAATATGATTCAGAAAGCTGCTTCTTGCACTACTGGATTTTGGGTATGATGTTTTTGCTGCACAGGAACTAACTCAGTAAGGAAGAACCTGAGAAACAGTAACTATAAACACAATGTTGGGATGTTAGGATTTGAGGTGGTAGAAGACTGTCCTTTTTGGAGATAAGTTTGAAATACTTCCTCTATTCACCTTTCTCTTGTTAACAGTAACTGACACGTGTTACAAGCAAACTGTTTCAAAATCAGGTAGTTTTTTTTTTCCTTTTCTCAAACAAAGGATACACACAGACCAAGTGCAATAAGAGAACTGTTCCAAAATAATGAAATAGCAGAAGATTTTTTTTTCCCAGCCTGCTGGCACTCTAACTTCACTTGAGTTCGCATGACTTCCTTTTTCTTATCAAACTCCAGTGGCATGAGGAGCTAATTTTGAAAGGGTAACCTGCATGGCTCACACAAACAACCAGGCTAGCAAGCTGACCCCAGGCAGAATCTGCAGCCCGATAAATACAAACCACTGGGAAGCTGATACCAGGCTCTGATAGCTTTTTCAGTCACGCAGTGCATTCTGCCACTGGACTTCAGAGTTCTCTATGCTGTGAGCTCACTGTCCACCTTGTCTTGGTCTCCTGCGCCAGGAGTCTGTTGGGTATGGAAGCTATCAAGCGATGGATGTAATTCTTCCAAGAAGGAAAAAAGTGTAAATATGGAAATAAGATTTTGATGTATCATTTTCACAGATTATATATAAATATATATATAATGAGAGAAAAGGATTTCCATATAAAAAGGTTCTATTCTTTATGTAAATCTATTTTTGATGTTGGGTTTGGTTTTGGGTTTTTTTGCTCCCCTTTTTTTCTGTAGCATGTTGTACAGCGGATGTTCTGGGCTTGCTCAAAAAAGGCAGTTAATAGCATGCAGATGCAGGGAGTTCTGACACCGAACAGATGTGATCTAAAGTTTGTATGCTTGAAACCAAAAACAATTAAAATCTATAAATGCATATCTATGTACTGACTATAAGTCTGGATTACTTTTTGTGGCTGTTATACAGATTTTCCATAATGTAATGTAAGATAAGTGACACCCTCTCAAATGACTCACAAGTGCCAAGCTTTTTTTTTTTTTTAAACTACAGGTACTTTTTTTTTCTCCTGTCTAGATCCTGTGAAATAAAAACTTAAATAAGCCTTAAATACTCAAAAAATGTTAGAAGTTTGGAATGAGTTATTATTCTTTTGCCTTCTGCCCACCCACCCAAGTGGGCTTGCAAAGGTGACTGACATTTCTAACTCACTCCCTGTATCTCTTTGATGCATCTCACTTTTCAAAGTGTAATGCAAAATTAATACATTGATCCTTGACTGCGGATAGCTAGTTACCATCACAAAGTGTGCAAAATCCCAACTTTAGGGGGTTGAGATTACTTTTAGATACACCTTGTGTACAGACACTGATTTTTGCAGAGAAGTGCTGGGCAGCAGTACCCCTCGTAACCAGGTGGATCTGTCTTGAGAAAGGTATGAATATGTCTAGCTTAGGCCTCCCTTAAAGTATAGAGCTGTACAGTCTGGCTCATCCTTTTCATCTAGATTTAAAACGTAGGTAATTCAGTTTATGTAAGTGAAGTGACCTGAACATTTCATTGCTGCATCTGGTAATCAGATTTAAAAACTTTTGTAATTTTGGACTTAAAGGTTGGATATTAGTAACAACGGAAGTCCAGTACACTTTTACCAGTTACCTTTGTTCAGTGGAAATCCATTTCCTGAGTTAGCTTTAAGAGCCAAAACATCACGAAAATGCTGCAGATTTCCTGTGACTTATAAAATCTCATTTCAACTACATTTCTTATTATGGTAACATTCAGTCCAACAGTCTCACAAGAGAACTACAATATGTTGTTTTGGTTGACAGTTATTATTAAATGCTTTTAAACAGCTTTAACAGTCACATTAACACTTAGCGCGTTACGAGTTAAAGGTGCTGCGCACAGGTAGTCAACGTTGGTATATATTATACATTTTATTCTGAAAAAGTCCTGCCTGGCTTCAAATAGAATGAAGTTAATGACAATACTTTTATGGCAAACCAAAAATACTTGCAACTGTATTATTGTCCTCAAAAAGTACTTTTGTTGGGAACGTAATCCCCAGCGTTGTTAGGGTTCTGCTTCCAAAGCAGCGTAACCCACAACAGAAACACTAGTGGTTACCAAAAATTAAAATAAGTAAAATCAACCGGATCGACACAAACTACCTGTGTAATAAAGCTTTGAGAAGCATTTCACAACAGTGTTAGTGTGTGATACGATGTTTTAAATTAGACCACAGTGGTCCCCAACTGCTATGTACATATGTTTGGTGCTGGACTAATTTCTATTTACACCAGCAGTTTCATAGGAATTATGATTTCTTGACTGAATTGATGCTTCGCTCATCAGCCACTGTATGTGGAAGAACACATTCACTTTCTGCCCAATGTGTACAGAACACAATTGACAAACTGAGCTCAGAGTAGGTACAGGCTGAAGTGCTTTCTGTGGTGGTGGACAATTGAAAAACTGGTTTTGGTAGGTCTTGATTTTCTACATCCTGCCTTTGCTTTGCTTTGGGAAGTACAGATCCATTTAGCATTAATTTGTTCATCAAAAGACGACCTGGTCAGCACTGCCTCCATTTCATCCACTATATATTTGCTTCATTACTTATCTACTCATCTGGACAAGAAACTGTGGTAACTGTATAACTGCTTCCAGTTTGCTGCATGATCTTACCGATTTGATCTGATCCTCCTAACAGAGAAGTCTGCTAGGCAAATTCACAGCTCTATAGGTGCATGTTGAAAGGAACAGATTACTTAAGGCTGGAGTTTAACCAATTTTTCTTTACTATGCAAAGATGGGTATTGCACAAACAAATTCAAGACAAATGTCTGAGAAAATGCCATAGAATACTTGAAGTTATGTTTTAAAGCCTAATCAGTCATGTTTTATATTGATTATTGCTTCCACTGTTGCTCTTCCTTTTAAAAATGATTTGTAATTATTTTTTTAAGTGCACAATTTGATGTTATAAATCAGTTTTTGTTTGAACTTAATACTCATTCATATCTTGTTGGCTGCTAATGAATGGAAATTCAATAGTCCTTGTTCTGCATCGTAGCAAGATGAGTATTAAAAACATAATGAACATGAAATGGAGTAGTTTTTAATTTTGAATCATTTTTTCCTTATTTATTCTTTCCATTTTATTTTATTTCTGTGTTCAGGATATCACCACCTTTATAGTAGTGGCAAGTGACAGAGTTTTCTTTTACTGAAGATCTCTTAAAACTGCCCTATCTGGCAGTGAGGTTCTGTGCGTGAGAGGACGTTGCATGCAGGCGCCCTGATGTGCGTGGGGCCAGCACCTCTCTCCCTGGCACTGAGCAGATAGGCAGAAGGAGGATTGCTGGCCCTGCCTTAGTCCCACCCTGCTGGCTTCACAGAATTGAATGAGACCTGTGTGCCTGCATTAGCTGAGGGAAGCATTTTGCAGTTCAAAAATCTGAATGTTATAATTACAAAAAGTCTAAAATGATGTAATTGTTTGGTTACTATGAGGCCTTCAAAATATTTTTTAATTAATATAGTCATCATAATGGATTACTGAATGAAACTCAGTTTCTCTTTTTGGTTTTTGCTAGACTAACCCTAGTGAAGCCAGCCTAGGAAAACTAAGTGCATGCACGACACGGTTAACAAATGACTACTAATTTTTTGCTTTCTCCAACTCCAGACAGGGAAACAGAATACACCTTTGTCTTAATACCTCCCATGGTTATGTCTGAAAGCATGTTTCTCATTTAGAACTACAGAGTGAGGGAACACTGACATTAATGGATCCACTATAATCCACTTTTTATTTCTTGTCATTTGAATATAGGAAGATTTATCTGTAAACTCAATATGAACACGTAACATTTTAGCTATAGTTAGACAGTCATTCCTAAAATAGGAGTTAAGCCTTTTGCAATATATGAATACAAAAGCCACAGATAGATACGTATCTGCTTTTGATTTTACAAGAGAAATTCTTAAAAGTTGGTTTTGAAAACTTTCACAATTACAGCATGAAATACTGAAGAGTGATCCTGCTGGGGCACTTAGGAACAAAACCAACACAACACAAGTCATGCTGTACAAATCCAACCCCCCCTCTTTTGTTCTAAATGCACCTACTACAGATTCCTGCCCACAAGAGCTGAAAAATTAATGCGAGTCATCCATCAGCAATACAACAGACACTGTTTAAGTGCCCTCAGAAAGCTTGAAGAAAAAAAAAATTAAGTAACTAGGAATTTTAGTAGTGATGCTCAAACCAGTACTATTGAAAGCAAAAGGTCACAAAAACATTATCTTAAAGCCGCACATACATACTATATAATTCAGTTCAGAGATTTATTGTTCAGAACTCAGCAAGCATAGCAGCACATCTTCACATTTTTGTGGGTTTGTTGAGGAAGTTATTTAGTGGAAGCACGTAACACAAGAGAACATTACGGCCTCTAGGTAAGTACAAGGGCTCTGTGTCAGACCAGCATAGACATCCACTTAATGTGTGATTGCTGAGCAACCACAAACTGCTGAAGGTAGCATAATTCAGAATGCTCGAATTTGTAGAAACCAAACAATTGAGTGTCTATCTATTTTGTGTTAAAATTTTCATTTGAAGGAGCTTGGTTTTGTTGTAAGTCACAGGACACCCCTCATCTTCACCACCAATTTAATAGGCCATGCTTTAGTGTGGCACTTTCTCAACCAGTACAAGAACTTCCCCCCCAAAGCTGGTAACTCAAAGCATGAAGGAACGAACTAACAGTGTTTTTCACCTGCTTTTGCATGCAGGATACAGCTGTGCCCAGCATCCCTTGTACAATCCCCGGGGGGGAGTTGCTGCTGTCAACATTGACCTAACCAATGCCTCAGTCTCCCAGTAGTCCTCCCGCAAAGGCTGGCGTGAGTCTGAAGCGCTGACTGGTCCTCTGTAGGATGCACACTGTTACAGGACATGTAACTGGACAGGGAGAAACAAGAACATCTCCTGGTCTGAGTCCAGTTCTCAGACTTCGTAAGCACAACACTGCACCACTTTAATAACCTGCACTTGGCTCTGAACTTCTCTGCAGGAATTCCAGCAACAAAGAGCAGAGATGAAGACGACCTTTTGCTTCACAGTCCCAAAAGCAAATTCAAAGCTTATAATATTTGGTCTGATGGCTGAGGAGATCTGTCAATGTACGATACATGACCAGTCAGAGAATTTTTTTAAAGCTGTGTTTAACTGATGACCAAGGTGTGGGTGTATGACACACTCATTACATCACAGACTGGTAACACACAGTGGTTCTAACCCAGACAGTGTCCAGCTAAATAACAACACAAATAAAGTACTGACTTCTGACTGGTTTCCTATCTCCAGCTGACAACCGATTTCTTCTCAAGAATGAAAAGCATCTAGATACCTTAAAACCTAGTGCTATTTGCATAAGATTTAATTTAAGAGAAATTAAGAACCAGTAACTTCATGGCAGCTGTGCTAAACTTGCTTCAATATCAACTGCAGGAAGCACTGGGCTAACAACCGACAGCGCCTCTGGAAGTATTTTGTGCATATTCACCGTTATGTGGAAACAAGAGTCATATCCTTATGCATGTTGACCTCACACATTAGATCCAAGTTAGACATTTGCCTTGGAACAGCATAAGCACTGACCTCATTAATTCAGGACAGTTTTCCATAGGTTGGGTCTTGGACTGTAAATGTTGAGGTTTTAAATAGCTACTGTGTATCTGCACTTTAGGGAAGACTCTCCAGTAGATGTATTGCTCAGGATGCTGTGGATTCTCAGGATGCTGAAACACTCCTAATCAGTAGGTGGAAGCTTTACTGGTCCCAGAAACAGCACTTAGTATTCTCGAGAACTGAACAGATCTAGTGTCTAATCCAGGTGATAGGGCACCTGGATGCCTTGTGGAGCTGCAGCACAACCAAATAGCTCACAATACTTGTAACAGAGGCATTTTCTTACTTGAGAGAGAAACAAGCCCCTCTTCCCCTCCCAGGTAGCTACTGAGCTAAGACCGGCCCAAGTGGAAGTCTGCTCATCCAGGGGGTTACAGAAAAAAATGGCAGTAGCAGCAGCAACTGATTTTCCTGTGACCCTGCAGCTTTGACTCCCCATGGACAATGTCCTAAGGACCCTTGCAAAAAGGTGATGGGAGCTGTGCCGAACAGCACCATTTGCTGTCAAGCCAAAAGGAAGAGCCCAGATCTTGCCGGCACAACACTGACGCTGCTTGCCACCGGCCAGTGTGCTGGGCTGCGTGGCAGCAGCATTATGGACACTTAAAGCTCCAGCTGTCCATACCACTTAAGTTTGGCAGAACCTTAATATCAGCCTTAGTGCAGCCACACAAAGCAGGTTTCCACTCATCTCTTCAGCTTGTGTAAACAGAGATGTTTACCTTCTTAACAAGGACCTCTTCCCAAAACATGATCTATAGCAGTCTGGTTTGCTCCAAAACACACCAATAACTATATAATTAGAGAATGACTGTACAGAACTTGCTGTAGCAGTGCTCGTGGTTACGTTAAGCAGTCTCAATCAGCGCTTTCAAAGAGAAGGCTCAAGTTACTTTTAAAATACAAGGACCGCAGTCTCAGCCTCCATACTCCATTCATAAATAGATGTAGACATTTCACATACCCTGACCATCCATTTCCTCCCCAGACCGATTCTGTTGTCAACATGCTCTGCTCTCAGGGTGGCACAACAATGAAATCAGATGGATGCAAAGTGCACAAGCAAGCCTGTTTGCTTTGGAGTCGGTCATTTTTCCCCTATTTCCTTTCAGGCGCACCTGAACTCTGTATAGCTATTGCAAGACTTGCTCCATTATGGAGTTACTCTTACAGATATTGTTAACAATAACATAGTTACAGTCAATGCATGCTTGACTAGGATTTTTGTGTAATGAGAAAGCAGTTCCAAGAAACTGGAACTATTATAGTGCCCTCCAGCATTCACTGAAAAGCTTCAGGAAATTAAAGATTTTAAGTTCTCTTTTGATTAATGAGGAGGCCCTGAACTCAAGACTGAAAATGGCCTCATTCATATGAAGAAAGAAACAATTCCCTTACACAGCAGGATCCTGACTGCGTGCTGTTGGATCAGAGGGCTGGACAGGTAGGTAAAAGATTCACATCCCATTATATTTTGCGTCAGTTTTCCTTTCTCTGATTTGGCAGAGTATTTTTCACTTCAAACGTAAGATCCCTAGGACAGGAACTGTTTTACTCAAAGGTGACCTTCAGCACCTAGCCCAGGGAGATTTGAGTTTAGGTAGAGCTGGTTGGCTGATACGTTTATGACAACCCCGCACACAGGCATTCAAAAAAATTATAATTCTTCATGAAATATGCTGCTCTTGAGGTATGCCTAATTCAGAATAGAACAGGAGAGAAAGGAGCTTGTTATATCAAAGTACAGTCTCTCTAGAAGCTCTGATTTAAA